AGAAAAATCCTGCGTACGCCACTGTTCCCTGGGATCCTGCACGATCGCTTTCCCCCCTCAGCGCAGTATATCTGAAACACTACATGGCCTGCGTCGGATTGATCAAATCCATCAAACTACGTGATGGGTGTCTAGAAGACATTCGCGTTCGAACATTCGAGTCTTCAGGCAAGTCGCCCATTTTCTGCCGCGAGGAGTATTGGAGCCAAGAAGTCGTCTTGAAGAGCAGCACCAGCGGTCTGTCTCCAACGAGCGGAACCGGAGTGTCGTATGTCCGTCTTTCTTAGTTGCTCAGATGTTCGAGTTTGCTACTGGGATCCGCGTTCGCCGGTCCCGCGAGTCTATATGGCATGCTGTTTACTCTGAACACATATGTATGGACGTACGCACACATTCAGAAAGTTCAGAAGGGCATTCTTCCTGTGGACCCGACCAACTGGCTGCCTAACTATCGAACCGGCCAGCGACAGAATGAGCCGCTCCAGTCTCATCGAGGCGTCCATCGCCACTAGCAGGAGCTCGGTTGGCCGACTCTCCACCAAGAGAACTGACGGCAGTTATCGGCCATTTCAACTCAATCTGGGTGTCCATCCAATAAGGGCTTCAGCGGATTCCGCTACGGGATATTTCCGTCCCCAATAGTCTGAGCTACTTCAGACGAGTCGCGACAGAATCGCGGCGCACAGCAGTGCAGACTCCAGACTACGACGAGGATGATGCTCCGGGGAATAAGGATCCAAGAATCGATCGCGAAAGGTTTTGCCTATCAGTCACGACGACCGTTCGTATATCAGAAAAATTTCCGCTCGGGCTCATTCCGAGATATGTTGGACGATCAGCACTTCCGAACGCTGAGATCAAGGAGACGCAGGGGGTGCTCGAGGCAGGGGTGAGTCCCGTCTTACGCTCTTCGGAGGAGCTCTGCCCACCTCGAGCGGTCTCCCCTTTATGAATCCACGAGCTGACAATCGTATCGATGATGGGACAATCGAATATTTTCCGTGTCTGCCAGTGTCAGACGTATTTTGGAAGGGAGTTTCGGGAAAAAATCAGGGGACGCTAGCAGGAACATAACGACAGGTTCTAAGAGTGCCTCGCGAGTCGCGAGCATTCTCGCCCGCGGCCCACCGAATCATGGAAAATCCGGGACGGTTGAGATTCGTCTCGAACTATTATAATTTCGATATGATGATATGATTCTGATTATGATAGTCGCTGGTTGGCTCCTCCGCGCAGCAATCTTCTACTCGTTCGTCATCACAGGAGTCCTCCGAGCTCTCCGTGGTCCCCATGCGCCGCTCTTTCAAGTCAGACGGAACGTCTGATTCGGCTGAATTGAGAGCGTTCGCGGATGAACTCGGCATCGGTGTCCGGCTCTTCAATCTCACTGCGATCGGCTGACTATGGTCGGCCCTCTCCGCTGAGTCAACGGAATTCGCTGGTTCAGCAATCTGAGTACACTGAATGGGTACATCGCGCGCGGAGTTCCGATCGCCGGTGAATCTTTAGACTTCAGCTTCCAGATTCTAGTTTTCCGATATATTGTCTCGGAATGAGCTGTCTCCCTCTAAATCGGAAAACTTCTACGTCGCAGCCAAGTTCAGCGGGAAGAGCAGAGATTTCTTCTTGGGGGGGGGAATTCGGTTCTGAGGGGGGAGGCAAGGGCTCGCAATCGGCGGGCGGCTTTCCAAGCGTTGCGTCTGAACATTACGGTTGAGAAATTTCAGATGAGCAAAAGTGATAACTGTCAAAGTTATATCAAACCCTCACCACTCGAGAGACGACACGATCGTTACGAGAACCTGAGCGGAACTGGCGCTTCCATAAGATGGCGCGGCTACTCATGTTTATTAAGCACGGCGGTATAGTCCAAAGGCTGACAAAAAGCCTGATTGGGTAGTCTTCTCTGATCTCGATGAATACACCATCCTGCGGTCGCAATCTGATTATGGAGCTCCAGAGGGCTGGGGGCTGAAGAGTCTGCCTCTCCCGGTGTGGTGGAAACTAGAGAAACGCTCCGGACTTGAGAGGCGTTCATGGACCCTTGTCTGATTCTGCCACGGCAGAATCCCGTTTGTACATGGACGAGATCTCTCTCTCTCTCTTGCATCAATCGATGAAGCTGCCAATTTCTCATGGATCATGGAGGATCGGCTCCATGGCGGATGTTGAGGCTCGTCTCATGGCCGTATGGCACGCGAGGGGCGCGCACATAGGTAGTTTTTTTGGGGGGGCAACTAGAGTTTGGAGGGTCAGACGACCAAAATGATGACGCGCCTCCTCGGGTCCATACTTCAGCATTGAAACCGAAGAATTTTGGTGGGGGCCATGGCCCTCTTGGCCCCCCCTGTGCGCGCCTCTGCCGGCATGTGATATTGTATCACCAGCGATGTATGTCCCCACACGCATCATTTGATAGGAGAGATCGGCTCCTCGGCTTCTAGTCTCTACTCCTCCGGCGCATCCTCTACATTTCATTTTATTTTATCTATATTTTTATTCCCCCGAAGAGTCTCGCGGATCCCGTCATCTTGAGCCAAAGATCATCATCATCATCGGCCTCCGGTAAACATGCGTCTGCACTGAAAATGTTCCACGACCGAAATTCACTATTTTGCGATGTTCATTACCGATCTAATCGCTCCCGGTCCTGTTTTTTCCTCAGGATTATTTAGTTGAGGTGCACCGTCTGGCCTCTCCTGAGAGGGTATATGAAATCGAGAGCCCGGCTTGGAATCCCCCAGGCACAGAAATACTCGCCGGGGAATCCTGTCACTTTTCTATCGATCGCGCCGAAGTACTTCATACCATGGCGGAATACGTCTTACCGAGATCCCGTGATCACGTGAGTGATTCGAGATGATACTAGAGCATTATGATCTTCCCGCTTTCCCGAATGATCCCCATGAGACAATAATTTCAATCGATTACGAAAATGTAGGCTCTCAGCTTGGTGGAGGTTCGCCCTGATTGTGCTACCGATGCCAAGTGCGCGGTGATCAATTGCGAAAATGCCGCCTGCGATGGCGATGAATCCGTCAAGTGAGTAGTTCTTCAATCTGAGTTCGATATACAGTCCGCGACGTGACAGTATACGATATCATATTTTTCTCGCGGCTCTCGCTACGGTTATGTAAAAAAACGTGACCCTCATTCCATGAGCGGTCCCAGCCAGGTGACGAACCTATCTTGATCCATGATTGCCACTGAATATTTCCGTTTGCTCCGTAGGTTCTACTTGTTCCCCGACGACCCATTGGAACGTCTGATCTGGGTTATGCTGATGGGTCGTGTTGACAGAACGCGGAAGCCTTGGTCAGCGCAGCAGTCGAAGCTTTACTACGTTTGCTCTAAGCACTTTCTCGGCAACAGAAGGTATTCTTGCATCCCTCAAAACCTCATGAGTCGAGAGCGATGACCTCGGAGCATAATTTTGGTGCTAAAGGGAGATGCCTCCTGTGTGAAAAGAATGCAACGAAAAAATCGTCGGAGGCGCAGCTGATCGAGGTCGAGTTTGATGAGCGAGTATTGAAGATGAGCTCTTGCTGTCCTCTCTCTAGGCTCCTCCTGCCCGATACAGATCATTATTACCCCAGCATCTTCCCGGCGATCCTGAACGTGCACTGCCTGCCTCAGGTCGGGCCGGACGAAGAGAAAATCGCGTTGATTCCGCGTGCCGCAGGCTTCTACAGGCATCGGCGTCTCGTCGAAGAGGTGGGTCTGGGAATATTTCCAGAGTCCATCATTCCTCGGCGTAGCGTTTGTGCTCCGACCCTGATGAAGAGTGATTCAAGCTCCTTAGAAAACGAATTCGATATTCCACTTATTTATCTTTCCCACAGCGAACAACACGCGTGACGATACATCGAGAAGAATTACCAGGTTCGTTTAGAGCCATTCTCTGAAGGGTTCTAATTTGCCGTTTTGGTCGAGCTCTGGAGACGCTCCTCGCTTCCAAGAAGAAGAGGATGGCTCATATGGTCATGAGAACTATCTGTGGTCATTCTTCCAGAATTGGATGAAGGAGGATTGAAGTGGTCTCAACTCCAAGACATCGCTTACGAAGGAATCTATCTGCCCTTCATCGAGGAGTTCAACAAACTAGTATCTGATTTGCAACGCACTGACGAAATTACGCACTTCAGAGTGGAGAAGATCGAAGAGAGACTCGCTTGCGTTCGAGATCAGATGCATCGCAGTCTCCGACGCATGCTCGAATGTGAAGGAGACCAGTCATCGGTCAATATCTACAACACTAATCAGCGATTTTCGGATCAGACTCCGACAGGTCTCTCCGCCAGGGGCAAAGCCTCAGATAAACCAGTGAAGAAAACCAAAACGCACAGTTTTGTCTCGGGTCCGGAGGGAGCGAGAATTCCGATAGATGTTACCATGCCATCGATTATCAAGGACTGGACCTACACGACACTGAATCACCTGAAAATAGGCCAAAAGGTACGACGTCCTATCGAGGAGACGAAGCAATCGTGGTTATTCCGGCGAAGCGGAATGACATAATGCTTTCGGGGAATATCTAATTAGGAAGCATCAATTCCACGTAGGTGCTCGCGCTCGATATAACTGGGAACTGGCTCACTTCCCTCGTCAGTGAAATCGATTATGCGACATCGACGGCTAAGGTGAAACTGCAAGGTTCGGCACGAGAAAATTCGGTGTCTCTGTCCGAAGTGGCGTATGGAAGTGCATCCCCGATGCAGATACAGCTGGGCTGTCGAGTGTTGGCGGGCATCTCATCACCGCAAGCTGGTGTAGTGATGGAGTATCCGAAGTGGCAAAACAATAATCGCTATCTGATTCTGTTCGAGAACGGCCGATGGGCCTACCATGAGCACCGTTCGCTGTTCTTGATCTGCAAGCAGACTTCGCAGACGTGGCTTCACGTCGATCGAGAAATTCAGGACACCGTGAGAGACTTCTTCACAACCACAGAGCATCCGCTTCTCCGGGTGACGGTCGGTCAAAGGATAGTCGCCGAGAAAGACAATCAATGGTTCGATAGCGAGGTAGGGTAAATTTGAATTCCTCGACTTCTGAAGAAGGGTCGTTTTCCTGCCTTCGCGGTGAAGTTCCTGATAGTTTCTATTTGACTCGAAGCCGACCTCTCACAAACGATTCGTGTCTCCCAAGGTGATTTCGTTGGACGGTAATCTCATAGAAGTAGCTTTCACGCATTATGGATCGAAGCTTGCGACCGAATGGTTGTACGCCGGCTCACCTCGATTACAAGAGATCTTCGGTCTTTTGCATCCGACTGCTACGACCACCCGAAAACACGCCAAAAGAAAAGTCGCCCGGAGAGTGAACGAGCCATACGTCGAGTACGTCGACGACGCCATCGATGTAATCACGCTCTCTGACGATGAGGACGACGACCGATACGGGGCTCAGAGCTTGAGGAAAAACACGGCGAGGAAGAGCACCGCTCAGCCCGCACCCCGAACGCGATCTCAGCACTCTGCCGTCGATAAAGACCCGGGCTTCTTGGGCTCTGTACGTCGGGACGAAGTCAAACCTCTAGCACAGCCAAAAGAGTTCGTACCCCACGTTTGTGGGCCCTCCTGTCTGCCGATCAACGACAGTCCATCGAAGCACGCACATCATAGTCCGTATCTGATGCCTCATCTGATGGCCTGGAGAAGACTCATACTGGAATCGAGCGAAGGCAAAGGAGTCATATATAAAGCTCCGTGTGGGAAAAGTCTACGGAATGAGACCGAGACGCTCCACTGCCTACTGCTGACAGAATCTAAGATAAAAATTGATCAGTTCTGCTTCGACCCTGAGTTCGATGCCTTCGCAATTTGGGAGCCGGAGCGCAAGAATGTCTTCGAAGTTGATATCACGAACGGTGAGGAGCCGTACCCGATCTCCTTCGTGAATGGCGTTGATACCACGGTGGATAAGCTGGTTCCGTACTGGTCCAAGAGACGACCGACGAAAGCTGCGAAACGGACCATGATCCTCGACGAGGAATTTCTCCCATGCTGTTCCTGCGAGGACGAGTGCCTGGATCGCTCAAAATGTCAATGCCAGAGTCAGACGGTTGCAATCTCGGACTCCATCAGCGGAGAAGTCGACCCGGAGGCGGGATACAGTTTCAGATCCTTGTCCGCTTCTCAATCGACAGGAATCTTTGAATGCAATTCTCGCTGCTCGTGCAAAACCCAGTGCATTAACAAAGTGGCGCAGAATGGCGTACAGGTTCGGATGCAAATTTTCAAAACTCTCAAGAAAGGTTTTGGTGTTCGCACCGTCCACGATATCCCGAAAGGGAGATTCTTGTGTACCTATGCCGGCACGATTCTCACGGATAAAGAAGCAGAGTCTAGTGGGCAAGATACGTATTTCGCCGAGCTCGATTACGTCGATATTGTTACGCAGAGCAAAGAAGACTATGAGAGTTCCGTCAGCGACATCGAGGACGATTTCGACGAGCCTGACGATTCGGACAGCGAATCCGATCGTAAAAGACTGGACGGGAACGCTCTGCGGCAGCTCTATTTCGGAAACGTGAGTGACATCACTACCAACGATACCCACCCTCAACGAGGAAGATGGGTATCTTCGATAGACAAGCTCCAAATAGAAATCCTCCTATGGAATTGGGTTCCCGCGACTCTTTCCACTGTGTTTCGGTCATGACGGCGGTCACAATCGGTCTGGACTTGAGCGAAGCTTCGATTTTATGGAGCTTTTTTTTTCAGGGAGACAGCTATGTGATGGACGCCCTGGACGGAGGGAACATAGGTCGATACTTTAATCATTCCTGTGATCCGAATATCTTCGTGCAGAACGTATTCGTGGACACCCACGACATCCGCCTCCCGTGGCTGGGCTTCTTCACTGACAGACTCATCAAAGCTGGGGAAGAGCTTACCTGGGATTATAGATACGAGGTCGGTTCTGTGAAAGGCAAAAGGCTCCTCTGTTATTGCAACAGCGCTAACTGTCGCAAAAGACTTCTGTGAAAAGCGCACACCTTTTGAGAATTCTCTCGCAGCGAGGTCGCATTTGTTTTTCGAAAGTGGTTCACAACCATTCTGGGCCGACCGCCGATCGGTTTTAGAAGGCGCGATCTTTATTCTCAATTGCTTTTCCAAGAGCGTGAACGTGCAATACTCTTATGCATCAGATTCTCCATTGTGCTCCGACGGGTTGATTTTGGCTCCAATGATGTGTATATCCTTCGATCTACGATCTGAATCGGTCCATGACATTCTTGACTTGTGGATAATAAAAAAATGAAAAAGGAACACGACTCGGTCTTTGATGGAAACGATCGGTCATTCCCGATATCGCCGATTCGTACGCGATGAGACAAAGAAGATGCAGAATTCCAATGTGAAGAATTAAGTGCGAACACTGAATTTTACTCAATTAGATTCGTAACAGGTGAATGGATGATGAATGGAAGGCTTCGGAGTGGTGATACATACATTCCTCGTCTTGTGGAGAAGGACATGAAATCGATCAGGTGTCGAGCGACGAGATCTTCAAGCTCGAGTTTTAAGTTATCAACGATTCAACTCAAGCATCGCTAATGATCAAGCTACAACGACGATTCCTGGTCCGCTTCTTCGTTCAAGAGGCGACGGACGTATACTTTCGCCGTAACCGACGATTCTTCGAGCGTCGGTGGGAGGGTCCATCCAAAACACCCAAGAGAAGCGAATTGCATGCATCATCGTTTATGCGGCGACAACTCCACAATACGCTCAATAATGCGTGTCAGCAACTCTCATCCACCAAATACAAAAATGACAACACAGTAGAATTCGGAGAGTTTTCAAAGCTCGAGTCCTGTGCGCGAGTACTTCGATCGCGGGTTCCGCCGTTTTCTGACGGAAGACGGGGAAGTAATCGCAGTCACTTACAAACAAGAAGAGCGCTCTCCGAAAATAGGAGTTTCTCCATCTAATGGATAAATACAAACGGACGTGGGTCGATCAAGATGGTTGAACGGGTTTAAAAGCTCTCGTAGATAAAATCGTAGTCAATTATTAGGTGCTACAACAAGTCTCTTGCTTCAAGATGATTTTTCCGGATCTGATTCGATCCGCCGTCATGATAATTCAACCACAACCAAAAAATTTGTGTCATGGCTTCTAGTCTTCGAATCGACTTCACAGATTTTTTGGGCACTTGCAACAAATTACTTAACAGACAAAGACGCGCACTTCCCTATATTTGCGAGAAGCATCAAAAGTGAAGCTCGTCTGCGCAGCGCACGTTATCCTGAGGGAGGAGCTTCAAAAAGACGAAACTTGCCCGCGTAGACTTAAGTCCCGGAATATCGGTAGGCGAATGCTTCTCTTCTCTTCCGGCTCGTCGGCGTTGGATTGTGACGAGGTGAGCATCGTTTCACTGCACAAATCAGACAAGTCTGAACACGAGGAGGACCGAGAACTCGTCCTGGAATATGAGGTCGGGGAAGGGGACCTTGACGAAACCAGGGACCCCGCATATCCAGATGAAGGAGTCGGAGGACGCAAGAAATCCATCGTCGCTCTCTTTTCCGACATCATCTGCAACATTGGCGGTGATTTCGTACACTGATCGGATCGCCCGAGGGCTTCAAGTTTCTCCGAATCGCAAGAAGTAAGGCTGACGCATTGGGGAACTCACTTTGTCCGTCGAATGGAACAATCTCAGGTTCTGTCCCATCGAGCACTGATCTACTTCCGCCGACTGTTCTGATGCATCTGTCACCACGGACGATGATAGAGACTTCCACATCGCTTCCGGATCGGACTTGTAATGGATGAAACTGCATCGCTCTCCGAAAGGGCAGAATCCCTCCGTCGAGAAGTCTCTGGAACGTCACAGATGGGGCTATAGTCTAGTCATCCTCGTCTCAACATTTGCGCACGCGTCGAAAGTTAGTCCGTAGAGGCAGGACAGATTCGCGCCGGACCCTCTCACCTGCAGGGTAACGTTTTGTGCTTCGGATGGCGCTCGATGAAGCGAAGCTCATCTTTCGAATGAGCGTAGGTACAATGTTCTCCAAAAGGACACCGGCCTTGTTCCGACAGGTAGTGACACATTTCTGTCTTGAATCTGTGAAAAGTATACGATTTATTCGCGTTCCCGTCGCTTGCAGGCCCTTGATTGTCGAATGAGTTCATTATAGTTGCCCAAAATCAACAGAATCGAGTCTCACTTAGAAGAAAGGGGAACATTCGGTCTCGTCCTGCCCTTGAATTGCTTCGGAGCACGCGCCGCACGGCTCTTCATGATTCCGGAGGGTCGATGGCTAGCAAAGTTGGTGAACATGGTGCGGTTCGATTCGCAAAGATTGATTTCCGCTCACTATTTGTTGGCTCGACGAGCTTTCGACGATGGGTCAGAGCGGCGGACTCCGTGTAAGGATTAGAAACTCACAAGCACGATCAGGGAAGCTCGCCTCACTCGCTCGACCAGCTCTGTCCGAGGTCACCGAAGCGGACTGTGCGAACAGGAACGTCGTGTGACATCTTCAAACGTGTGTTGTCGAGTTCGACGCGCACCTCACTCGCAAGCAGAACGCGGTTAAGGGGGACCTCCGACTCATAGTCGGCTTCCGACTGATTCTCGGGTTCCCATATATTCTCTCACCATCCCTACGCCCCCCACGGACCCTCCGTCTCGTTGAAGCACTCGCTGGAAACTATGGGAAATCCTCGCACATTTAGTCAATGAGAAAAACCTCCAGGGTCTCGAAGCCTGATTTATTCGATCTGCGAGTATCTCGGTCAGGTAGAGGCATATATTTCTACACACAAATCTCAAAACGAAATTTGAGCTAGCTGATCGAGTAGAGTACCCGAGCGGACTCCAGGTCTCGAGCAACGGAGATGCGAGAAGTCCTAAAAATTCGATTAGTCGAATATTTTGGTGGGATTGAGGATGTTGTGCGGGTCGAGGGCTAACTTGATGGACTTCATGACAGAGACACAGTCGCTTCCGTGTTCTTTGAGCAGCAATTCTTTCTTCCCTGCAATGGAAAGAATACTCTGATTGCACGAGTATCGGGGTATGGCCTCGTGAAGGAATATCAGTCGCTCGCACAGCAACTGCACGCGAGTCTCGTCGCGTTTACCGAATCTCGCACACTTACCGAGACCGACACCGTGCTCCCCCGTGCACGTACCGTCGAGCTCGATTGCTTTCAGGGCCATCCGCTCGCCGAGCTCGTGAACGACTTGGAACGAGGCTGGATCTTTGGGATCAAAAAGCAGCATCGTGTGGAAGTTCCCGTCACCTGCGGGGAAGCGGTCCCGTCAGACCGAGCAAGTATCACACGACCCGTATATCGATCTACCATGCACTCACCAACGTGCCCTACGACTGTCCCGTATACACCCGATCGATCTATATCTTCCTTGGTGGCGGCAAGTAGCTCTGGGAGCTTCGAAATCGGAACGCATACGTCGGTAACGTAACACTTCGTATTCGGACGCTGAGCACACGTCGCGTAGAAGACAGAATGACGGGCCTTCCATAGAAGGTTACGCTCTTCTTGGTCCTGCGAACACAAACGAGAGCAACTGTATGACGCGAAGGGACACTTGGGCGCCTCTCGTGACACATTCTTAAGAGCCTACCTCAGCCCATTTGAACTCAGTTCCGCCGTTGTCCTCGCAAATACTAGCGACAGTCTCTATTTGTTCGCTGACGCTAGTTTGGCTCCCATTGAATTCCAGCATCAACGTCGGTTTGTCTTCGAGCGATGTTTTCGAATAGGCGTTACAGGCCTGCAATCGGTAGTCTGTGAGGAACTTCCCGCCGCGGTCTCGTCAGCACTTCATATTGGATAGAGGCCTCACCTGGATCGTCCGCTCGTCCATGAACTCAACTCTAGCGATTGGTACGGCATTCTGTAGAATTTCCACCACGGTGTCTATAGCTGCTCGAGGAGTTTCGAACTGGACGACGGCACTGACCTGTTTCTCAGGAATGGCGTGCAGGCGCAAAGTTGCGGCCGTGATTATCCCTGAAGCGTCATGTATCATCTTCATCATCTCTTCCATGATTGAGTTGTCATTGTGGATTGAGTGAACCGGATATTCCACGCCGTATATCAGAACGGACCCCCGGCGAATTGATCTTGAGACGTCTTGGTTCGGAGACGACACACGATCATTTACCTAGCGTGCCTTCAGAACCCACGAACAAGTTCGTCAAATTGTATCCGGCGGCGCTCTTCCTCGCTCGTCCTTGGATTCCGCCAGTATTTATGATTCTCCCATCGGCCAGCACGACTTCGAGGTTGAGGACGTTTTCACGCATCGTTCCGTAGCGTACCGCGTTGGTCCCTAGGGAATGCGCCAAGTACCGTCATTAGAACAGAATCCTCGAATAAATCGGACAGACCGCCGAAACATTGAGATATAGAGTCCAGCGTGCAGTGATACCCACCCGACGCGCTCGTTGAGCACATGCCACCCAGAGATGCGTCGGCTCCGGGGTCTACCGGGAACCACAGTCCGCGGTCGCGCAGGAAGAAGTTCAGGGCCCGCCAAGTCACTCCCGCCTCCACAGTGCAGTCGAAATCCTCTGGGCTGACCCGAAGAATTTTAGTGAACGATCGCAAATCGATTGCGACTCCTCCAGTTGGAGCTGAAGCACCGCCCTCGAGTCCTGAGCCGGAGCCGAATGGAACCACCGGTACTCTCTTTCGATTGCAGAACTTCAGCACCTCAGCCACCTGGGGGACAGGCCCGAGGCGTGATTTCACGCATCCTCCCCATCTAGTCATGTCTACCGTCAGGATACATCAACGAACCTGCTCTTTGTTCTGCGGGAAGACCACGACTTGAGGCTCGGAAACTCTGTGCGGACCTTCGTCTTTGCCATGCTGCTGCAGATCATTCGGGTTCGTCGATACATCTCGATCACAGGTTATTTTCCCTAGCGGACATAATAACAGAGACGTCAAGGAATTCGTCAGCCGGCATCGAAAAAGTGAGAGGTGGAGCAGAGTTCCTTTCCCTTGAGTCAGGGGAAACAGGATTTCCCACAACACAAATAGTACTCCATACCGAGTTCTCGAAGGAGCTCTGATGTGGAGACATGCCGCGTTTTCAGAGCGCCAAGACACGAATTTGAGAGCAGAGCGGGCCTCAGGGCAACCCGCAGGGACGACGAAAGCATCTCAACGCTATCCGGGGCGAGCTGGAAGACTTTCAGAAAAGCTTCTATGACATTGTAAGCATGGATTTTCCTCTCATTTGTCAGGAGACTGCCTTGTGAAAAATGGAACAGTCAAGCCAGGTTTCACGTATTCCTGCGCAATGAATCTCTCAAAGACATCCTCATCTACCAATACCGACCAATAGATGTCGCCGGTGGTTATAGGCTATGCCGCTCCGACGAGACTCGTATCAGCTGTTCGGATTCGTGTTGATGCGGCCGAGTCTCTACGATTCCCTCGATGCCCACAGTCTTAAATGGGGGGTTCCAACTCACTCGGAATGTCGTATTGGAACTCCGCGGAGTCAGATGATGAAGGATACTCCAAAGAGGCACGATTTCAACTCAGATTGCGTGTTCTCGATCTACGTTCTCGAGGCCAGCTGATGGCATTGATGATGACGGAATGGGCGAGGGTCGTCGACAGGGAAAGGGATCGTATTGTGGCGAGAGAGGACACAGACCACACAGACCAAAAGCCTCGACGAATATTGTGTGAAGCTATCGTGTTCGCCAACGGCGAGATATTGAATGATGTTGATGTTGTTCGCCTTGCGATTTTCGATTGCGGCAGAAACTAGAGAGGCGTGGGTGCCACCGAAAATTCGACTACGCGGAAGCGGGGCGGAGGGACGTCGGGATTGGAGATAGAGCTGCTAGATACATGTGCAGCAGGATGAGATATCCAAATGAGAGTGAACCGTCTCAATTCTAGAAGACGAGCCTCCCCCGAGTTCGATTCACGCCACGAATTTGTCGTACCTCGAGTATTCGATCCGTTCATGAATCATCCCCCTGTCCCCCCTTGGATGGGATTGCAATGTATGTCTGCCATTGAACCAATTTGTGTCAGTCTTATTCTCCGAACAGAGTCCAAACTTTCTTCAATCGATGCCCAATCACCTCTGTGGGATCAAGATGCACTTCTCAAGCTGCTTAGAGGCATGCTTTCCGCAAGATTTACGTGTATCTCCAGTTATCGTTATTTCCCTGTCAACTGTGACGCTCATCCTTCATGATGTCATCACAGCTTTACGGCTAGTCTATAATGTATAATACTTGACACATATTTGAGATTTATCCAAACCTGAAGTCGCGAAATGAATCCATGCACATGGCCTGAAGCCCCTCATGGTTTTGTTACTCATCGCGACTCGTTGGTGGAGCAGGTCCTCACTCCGAACGCCGAGTTTCCGCATAACAAGACCTCGCTGTTTATCCTGTACCTCATACCCCAGCCCCGTGTAGCGCATCGATGACTCCTGAAACTAGATCTCAGGGAGAAGATTCATACGTGCTTCCCGGCTCCCGAAAGATGATCCATTCTCCCCGGATTCTGTCATGTGATATCGCTCTTGCAGGTGACTCCTCGGTGCTTGTGTATCTCAAAATCAGTCGAATTGTAAACTCCGGTGAGGACAACCTGCTATTGTTCGAGCTACCCGTGCCTGTAATTCTGAAGGTATGAAAGTACCACATATATCCTCGCAGCATAGCCAAAGGTTTGGAGCCTTGTCCACGAGAGGTTTGATTTCCTTCCCGGAGCGATCACTTCTCCGTTGACTTCCCTCATAGCCGACCGGCGCATGACAAGTCTTGCGAGAGAGTCGACATAGATTTTCTTCGAACGTCATCTTCCGATTTAGATGCCAGTCTCTCAGTACAGCGGTAAATGGTCTGATGAAATCAGCGACGGATGAAAAGAAGCCTCATGCAGCTAGCATAAGGTCCTCCCGGCAGCGATGGCCGCGAATGGATAGGGATCGAGCACATCAAAACATGGAGGGATCAGATCGAGTCCAACAGGGAGGGAATATCGGGCTCTACATAGCAGAGGATCAAGAGGAAACTCCCCTCTCGTCGTTGAGGCGAAACAAAATCTCTACAGGTCATTACAACGAGAAACTCACGGAGCGACGCAGGAGACGACGGTATTGGGCGGAAAATTTCCTGAGGCAGCCGCAATGCGGCAGACCTCCGGCCTGGGGGGGCGATAGGCTGCCGGCCCGTTGATCCATATGCTCATTCTATCAACGACGAGTGAGGGAATCGGAATACCACAACGTATCCGATGAGCATCTCTCGGGCGAGAAATGAATGGAAGGAGTCCTCCCGATGCCCTCCTTAGTGGTAGGGGACTGAATGAGCTCTACTTCCGCTAGGTACCTGATTCCCGCAGGTGAATGCCCGAAGAATTTCCTGGGAGGAGTCGCTGACTGAAAAAAAGATCCTGGAAGAATGATATGAGCCGAGAGCAGCGTGGGTTTGAAGGCCTTCTTTATTTCTATGGCTTATTGTTGTGAGTTTGTGATTTGGTGTTATTGCATCTACCCAGACGCTTCGTCTCGGTTCCGATTCCACGGGAATGGCTCAACTCGATAATTCCTCGCGGAGCAGGAGAGACGCTCGGAGAGTACATTGAATATTTTGGTTTTGCGGCGTGAAAGGTTGACGACAAGCTAATGAAGCCGATCCAGCGAAACGTGACATTACACTCTGCGATCGTTCCTCTAGACTCGGTGATCGGAAGATTCTAGGTTTACCTATACACAGGCAGTTTCGGAGTTCATGCTCACTGAAAATTGCTTTCCCCCCTCTCCGCGATCCTCTCGGCTGCACGGCTCGACGTTCCTCGCTCCCCTCAGAACTTTTGCACCCGGAGATCTTCTGGATCCGGGGGCGGGGAAAGTGGACATGAAGATAAACTTTCGGATTATCCGGCCTGAGTTCTGGCGAATCACAGTTCAATGGATGCTTGTTGCTGCTGACCTAGAGGATGCGTCGGTGGAGGGGGCGGTGGAATCATCATCGTCGAGGCAGCAGCTGACACCGGGGGACAGGCGCTCGCATGCGAGCCCGGACTCTCCAGTTCGAGGGCCCAGACGTGTTGGGGCCAGCCGGTACGTCCCTTGGATCGCGAGTTCCCACGTCCTGGTGCGTGCATCATGGCCAGCGCCTGCAATTCAAACTCGAAGATTAATTTTTATGCGGTGTCGAGCGACCGACCGTTCTAGCCTGTGGAACGTTTATCCACGAATCGAGACAATATTTCTAGAGAAGCCCATATTCAGAATTGCATGGGGGCGAGGGGCTCGCAACTCGTTTCAATGACTCGATATACACGAGTTTCGCCTGCCGCATTATCTAGCGTCTCTATACGCTTGCAAGGACTTCAGGCGTAGCTAATGTGGCGGAGGCGGGCTCCGAAGGCGGAGCCTGAGCTGCGGGTGCCTGGCCGAACGGTGGGAGCGTGGGGGAGGGGTAAACAGGCCTGTTTGGACGGACCAGAGAACAGGCCCTCTTGATTTGATTACGGGAACAGGCTCCCTTTTCCCGCTCGCCCGCTTGCGCGTTCGCCCTCATTCTTTTCCCATTCCCGTTTCGCACTTCTGCCCCCGTAGGAGAGGTGGTTGTAAATTGTGGGTCCTGTCCCGGCGCATCGTCGTCAGGCCCACTTCCTAGGATCTGATCATTCCCGTGGATTCAGGCAGTATTAACCGGGATTTCAATCGAATTCGAGGCTCCTTCTCTGAGAAAGACGTAAGGAGGAAGTTGTTGCGACCGGTGGGGGCGTTCTCTGGAAGGAGACGTCCGATGACGCGTAGAATCTTACGCGATCTTTGCAGGAGATTCCCTTTCTTCGAAGAGACTGGAGCAGTACCCATCGCATCCACCGAGATATGACTGGCCATTTACTGCTCGAAGTCGGATCGCGCAATCACACCGTGGCTGCCGCCGACGAAAGAGCAAGTGAATGTGTTTCAGAAAACAAGACTGCAGAGAGTATACTAGGCGACAGATCTCTTTAGCTCAAGGCCCCTTGGCTTTCTCAGTCTCTCGATGCCTCCTCTCTCTCCGCTTCCAGTGAAATCTGAAACCTTGAACTCGGATCTCGTGCACATTCGCCAGCTTCGAATAGAGAATAAAAGATGGCTGACCGTCATCACGCAGAGAACTTCCTTCCGCAGAGGAATTTCCAGCTTTTACAACTACGTCGTAACTGGTAATCATAAGATCCATGTAACGGCCAGCGTTCTACATCTGGTTCGAAAATTTTACACTGCACGCTCAACATGTCATTTTACGACATATCGCTCTTCACTTCGAAGACCCTGACGACAGGCTGACCGAGGCTTCCACAGAGCTGACAGCGATCATCCAGAGAGAGGCAGCAATCGCAGAAGGTTTTTCTACACCCGTCGCGGTCGTCTCGTAGGAGCTTTCTTTCGAGGGTCGTTTGCCACGAATCTTTAGGGAATGATCAATAAGGCTGCTGCAGTTGCGACCCACTATCGCTTCACAATCGGTCGATTATAGAATTGACAAAGCGACGGCAGCACTGGTGTGATCCGCGGATCGGAGATCCAGGCTGTATTTACATTGGAGGAAAGTGTCAATCTCCGGAATGTTTACATCTTTGTCTAACTGTCAGCCGTGCCACTCGTGCCGTCACGGCACTGACAGTTCGGCTTCCTCTTCCCGAAGTTTCTCCCTGAACTCTATGGAATAATGAAAAACCGGCCGAGATCCGCCAACGTTGCCGCTCTGAGAGGATTTCACGTCAACCCCCAATCAAATTCGTCGTTGGGAGCCGTCCCTGGGAGAGAGAGGATGTCTCAAGCTAACGACTCGGTGGTGGTGACAACCATCTGCAGCATCGGGAGCGTTCCGTCACGATGATCTATCAGCCTTGATCTACAGCGAACTTTCAGCTTGAAACTTCCAGTTCGAGGGAGAGATCGCGTTTCGCCAGAGTGTGTATCGCCGCCTCGGATTCAGATAAGCGACAGCGACCGACGGCGAGAAAGCCGATTACGCACCCGTTGAAGCAGGCGAACAAAAGTGAAATATGGAAAGCAAGGACGAGAGCGAACATCAGCCCGATAGGCGAGGATGAGCTGTTGTCTCTTTGAATGAGCTCCGGATTTTTCCCGCTAGCCACCATTTTTCAGATAAGCTTTCGAAATCCGAGTTTTGAGCTCTTGACTCTGTCAGGGGATATCAAGAGAGACTGTGGCTTGGCTTCGAACCTCCACCACTCTGGCTCATCCAAGCGTTTTGCCGCAAGCCGAGTACTTGCCCACACCGTTGCGCTTGCTTTAATTTTGATCGACCCCGACTCGCATGAGCGGAATCGATATTGGTACTCCCATTCACAGCGACGGATCTATCGACGGAGTTTAGGAGAGCGTAACAAGTGTTGCTACGAGCCGTCAGAGGAAGATCTTCCCACGTCGTGTGTGTTCCATGCTCGGCTATTCTTTCTCTTCCATTCCTGGGGTCGCTCACATATCATAACCCATGACAGGGTCAATTAGCGAAACAAGAACATTGAAGAACACAGGTTCAACGCAAGTTTCGTATTTCAGTCTGGATAAGCTGAATCCAAGCTATTGCAGGTGTTTAATGATGGTCATTCGCAATATCTGTGTTCAGCTCGAAGCTAGGCTCCATGATACTAGTTACCTCTGGAAATTCCGGTCTAATTGATTCCGGTCTAGTCCACCTCCTGGATTTATCACCGAGACTGGGTGTCAGTCGAAATGTTTTCCAGTGAGCAGACGAATGAGTGCGTCACTGTTCGGAACTGCTCCGAGTTCGAACGCTGTAGCTTCCGAGAAGGTCTGAGCGAGAAGAGAGCCCGAGAGAAAGTCCCGCAAGAAACCCCTTCCGAAAGTTCCATGCCCTCAAGTAGGAGGGAAATGGCTCATTCTCGTGACAGGCGACAAGACAGGAAATCTAGAAGACACGGATCACAGGATTTTGATCCTTCCGCTCAGCTGACCATTGAATGATTTGACAAGTTAACGACACGACGACAAAGGTGGCTATAAACAGCAGTGGCAGCAGAAGCAGCAAATGGATTCGTTTGAAATCGCCCGCTCCGAGAGAACGATACTCGTTCCGACGGTGGCGGCTTTCGCTAAAAGAACCCACCGACGGATCAGCCGATCGATGGATGAGCAGCTCGGCCATCCGCCGCCTGCCCGCCCACGGTTCGAACATCGAAACTAACATTGGCGACGATACGGCAGCCGATACAGGGAGCGATGCGATGAATGAGCGTGCGTATATCGTAAACATTGGAGTCGCCTACGAGCGCAACGACAACACGGGAGAGATATATCCACATCCTCTAGCTCCTGAGTCTCCCTCCTCCACAGTACAAATAATTCCCTTCCTGTTTCCGACTTCTGGACCATCCGAATTTCCCAGAGAAGGAACGAAACCCTCTGAGCCCAGTCTTCAAGACGTTTTCGGCCAGAAATTAATCGGAGAACCCTGAATGCTATAGGATATCCTGGCAGCTAGATCGTTCCAGGACAGGTCAGATGACGCATGTTATCGCGGGAACTTATCGAAAAATATCTATGGATGAGCGAGTGGGGAAACTCACCAGTTCTCGTTTCCGGCGTTCTTCTTGTTCGGGCGTTCGAGTCCTTTTGCCCAACTCCGCCTTGAAGCCGTGGCCTGGCAATGTGGTGAGAACGTCGAGGTCGTTCTCAGAGTCTAGTAGTTCCATGAGGTAAGCAATGTAACTTGTCGCCAAACGAAGCGTTTTAATCTTGGACAGTTTCGTATCCGATGGAACATTCGGTATGCAATCCCGAAGCTCGGAGAACGCGTTATTGATGCTCTGCGTTCGACGTCGTTCTTTGCGGTTGGCGGTCACGCGTCTTTTGGGTCCGTGACGAGGAATACGGTCATCTTCAGTTCCGATCTCGCTGATGGCGTATCCCGATGACCCGTAGGGGTGACCGTCAACCGCGTAAGAATTGGCCGAAGTCACTGAGCCCGAATAGTACGAGCTTGTGGTGGGGCTGGAGTACGGGTCGGGTGAGTCTCCATGCGAGCTCACCGAGTTCGGATAGTTGCTGCTTGCCGAATTCCAGTAATCGGTGCCGCCGCTATAGTCGTTATAGTAACCGTACGAGTTCACTCCGGCGGACATACTCGCACTCTGAGTCTGATGATTATGAAGGAGATGATTATTGTGGAGGTGATGGTGGGACTGGAACGGTAGCGCTGTAGTCATCTTATCAAAGCATAGCCCGGGTGTCGATGGTGGACTTCTTCGCGCTGGGAACTTGTTGGAAATTTTCTCTTCACGTAGCCAACAACAAGACGGGGAAATGCTCGGAGAGCTGACGAACGCACACGATGGTTGAGATGGGACACGGTTTTCAACCTCGACGACGAACTCCTATCGCGGAATCACAAGGAACGAAGCCCGAAAATGCCCGAGTCGATATCCAAGGTCTCGCACAGCACCTATCGATATCCGCATCCGACCTCAGACCGAGGGGGATGGAAGCTGACACTCCCTGCGTCGGTGCACTAACTCGCTCGTTCGATGATTTACTCGTTCGCTAGCCGTTCGTCACTCAGTCAGTGAGCCGGTCGGTCGCTCGGTCAGGCACTCGCCACAGGGTTGGATGGCCGAATGGTCTGTTCTGGTCTGTGTCAATTGGGCACAACCTCCTCGTCGATCGGACCAGCCAGCTGAAGTGATACACGAGCCAACAAGCTAGCAAGCGATTCAGATAGCCAGCCACCCATTCGAGCAGACATCAGCGTAGTCGACCACTCAGAGACGCAGGAAGGCGGAGCGAAACCACTCGGGGCGGAGTCCGCCATTGCTACCGCTGATGCGACCACTGAGGAGCGCCTTGCTGCTCCGAAGGAGATGCAAAACGATGACTTTATAAGACGAGCTGTCTGAGAAGACTTCGGGCTATCGCCGCCGTCGATCTCCTTCATTCCCGCTGCAGGAGAAGTAGGGTGATTACCGGCGTCGCAGCCCGTAGATCCCCTCGGATTGACCTCCGCAGAAAAAACTCGAAAAAGGATTCGCACATCCTTCCGCGGTATGAGCGTCCGTACAAAAACTCAGGAACAAAAACATCGGCAGCCCAAACTTGGGTGAATCCATCGCGAGAATGATCTCCCTCCAATGCACGTCAAGGGGAGGACCATCCGAGCTCCTTCTGGGGCCTGTCGTCGCGGAACCCGTTGCTATTCCGGAACTCGTAAGTCCCCAGATCGAGATTCCGAGCCAGAGCACACGTTCTCTTATCAATATATCATTACGGCTCCGAGACGCGTACCACTTCATCTGACCGACATTTGTACCGCCTTCCGCAGCTTCAATATAGAATAGCACTCGAGCTGAGCCGGGGCTCAGAGTTCTTCAGGACTCTGGGTCGGGCTGGAGCCTATTTTACGGAAACGGGTAGAAATCGCGTCTCTCGATCCGATTCCATACTTAAACAAGGACGAAGAACACTTCCACTGTTCAGGATTCAGGAATTAGCAGCAGGCTTCACGCAGGTGAGCCCTTGGCTCAGGATTCAGGATTAGCCGCGCTACCTCTCCAGCTTTCCAGTGACCATCGCAGATCGCCTCATCTCGATTTTGTCCGATCTCAGTCTCAAGTCTCAATGCTAGCGAGTGAAATTCTGGGATTTTGAGCCCCGAAATCCGAAGGATGCTGGACCGATGGCCGGAGATACCCTTAGTATTGGAGGTCTGCAAATGGAAGAAGGTTTCTCGCACCGGAGGTAAGGCGCTGCCAATCTTCCTTACAGTTCCGGGTCTGGCTTCTGGGTAACGGGTATCGATAATTGATAAACCAGAGTCCTAGAAGCGAGCAATGATGAGTGATCCAGGCTAAGGTCGTGAGTCGGCATGGTCCAGTGGTTCTGAGGTGCCTAGCGTATCGCGTGCGCGAAGTATTCCGCCGCAAAGTCGCCCGCGCACAGGAAACGCCCCGTCGGCCGAGATCCGCTGACGCGCCGTGTTCCCTAGGCGATTCCGATATCGAGGACGCCTCATTCTTCGGCAAACCCACACGTCTGGGAATTTTGATGCCACAACACCGAGCCGAATTCAAGAAGACATGCACAGAACCGGGTCTCATGCTCCCCTAAACGCTCGATTCTAGAATGGTCTGTATTTGACACACCTTTCCAATTTTTGCCTCCGATTTACGCGATTTTCCCGGCAAACCCACAGCTTCGATGAGTGGTTGGACACTGACTGAGCGTTGCCGGCACTGAGGACCGAGATCCTGTACCGACTTAGGTGTATTCCGAAGCCAATACTGAGAACGATTGGAATCCTATCGGACCCTGAGCTTTGATTCCTCACGTGGTTCCCTGGGATTGACGGTCGACATCGGAGTCGGAGTCCATGACATGCTCTTGAATGTGTCTGTCATAGAGTTCTCCACATACTGATTAGGGGGCGAGGGACGAGCAATGAGATTCCGCGCCGACAGAAGAACACAGAGTTTAAGCAGAGCATGGCAGAACGTCAGATTTCACGCGAAGCCGAATCCTGGACTCTGCATCGTGTGTTTAGCTTACGACGGATCTGTTTCGTTCGAAGGTGCCTTTTTTCAAGAGATTCCTGAATCGAACTCAGCTCTGCTTCTTTCCCTGGGAGCTGTTGGCAGCAAACCTCGTAATTTTCAGCTAATAAACCGGTGGCTGACTAGCTTAGAGTGGATATTTGCTTACGGCTAGTGCTAGTTTACACAAGATACGTATCTCGCTTGAGAGATCCCAAAACTAGATATCATTCATGAGCTCGCTCCGCCAAAACTCTCCTTCGCCAATTCTCCTATTTTGGAGCATCTCCTCGATTCGAAGCTACAATCCGCTAGGCTGACACCGCTGCGATGCCGCCAGTAGACTCGGGAATCGGAGCGAGCGTCAAACGCCGCGATTCGGGAACAGAATGAGACATCTCCCGCTGGAATAAGATATTGTATACGAGAAGAAGCTCGAGATTTTTGGGAAAGTTTTGTCGTCTCTCTTTCAGACGATTTCTCGACTCGATAAGCACTGTCTCGACTGGTTGGGGACGATGCCTCAGTCAGTATTGAGAAGGAGGAAAAGGGATCGTAAATCCAAGTGGCGGGGGTGGACGTGCGTTCCGGAGGGTCGTTGGATCTTCGTCTGAGCCGGACACTTTTCCATCTCTCTCTTAGAGATAGATTCGGATCATCCGGGCCCACGACACATCGACACTCGGCACAGTCAAGCTCTAGCGAAATACCGAGGCGTTGAGCGCTCCAATCGAGCCGTTCCCTGTACTTGTCGTTTTTCGGAGCGTGGCGCTGTCCATTGTTCTATGCACAGTCCCATTACGTCTCCCACGAATGAGATTTATGGAGGTTCATTTTCCACGAGAGAGCTCTCAAGTGCAGAAAAGAAACACTGTGTCTAGCTCGATTGAACTTCCGAGCTCGTGTCACTCGGGGGTCTGGCGGTTGGAATGGCTTTTTGGTACTGAGTGCGATACATGGAAGCGTGCTCTCGAAGCCGTTTTTTCTTAGCGAGAAACAAACGGCTTGTGTGAGACACATCTGATTAATGTTCCGGAGTGCTCCCTCTTGCCTGATGGCTGATGGCTCAAGGGTTGGTCGGTATCCGGAGATCTGTAGGTCGCTATCCGAAAATCCACGGATTCAGGTTTTCCCTCCCGACTTCACCCGATTCGCAGTCATAATCGCCCAGACCGTCCAGCGGCGGGCTCGTCGGTCAGGACTCAGGACAACGTCTCGGAATTAGAGGAACTAGAGCCGAGGACCCTAACACGGCGACCGGAGCCGAGCAAAAGTGATCTCACGGTGTTGTAGGAGAAAAACTCGGCAAGCATCCGATATCCGATCACCCCGAAGGCCCGTGGCCTTACGAGCTTATTGATCGACCGCGGTAACTACCGCGTAGCGTCGAGTGATCCCCCTTCTATGCAGAATGAATTATTTCAGCCGACCCAGGCGACGGAATGGAATGAGCGGATGAATGAATGTCGAAATGAGATGAGCCATCAAAATTTTTGAGAAGCCCATCTTCTGCCTTCTTCTACTGCGTCGAACCACGCGAAGTTCACAGGTTCTCCTGCAGTGCTCACCGGCCGAGTCGCCGGCGCGGCGTCGCTGATCGTGTGCTGAGTCTGTCTATGCGTAATGCCGGGGCTTCGGTCAGTGTTTACTGGCCGGAGAACTCTCAGACAAGCAACACGGTTGCCGAGCGGGCGAACCATGGCAAGCGACCAACACGGGGCAGCAGTAGCGACCGAGCCAATGATGATATGATTTAAGTTGGCGCCAGCCCGGCAAGCAGTTTGCTCTTCACTCACTCCCCCGACTTAACCGGAGTAGATGACGTGAACGACGCGAAGAGAGTCGACGACAAGTCGACAAAGAAGAAGCCCTATTTCACTCTGGGTTAGATGGACAGATAGCAAACGACGTTTTGATTGTCCTCAACGAACCGCGATTAACCGACTTCGCTACCGCCACCGGACGTGGGGTCAAATGATCCGGCACAAAAAACAACAATAAAGAACAACAATAGAGTGGACAACGACCAGGGGAGTAAAAACTGCAAAGAGTTTAAGGTTTTTATTGGCATCAATCCCCGCTAACTCGTTGGGTATGGAGCTTTGTGGCCCAATCTGTGAGGTTCTCGATGTTTCTCTTTTGCCGATACGGAGAATCAGGAGCCGGCTAAGAGCGTCGGTCATCGAAGGAGCGGTTCAGGCTCCGTTGTGAGACGAGACTCTGGATATAGATATGTGAGCCTTGATACGCTCTCGTCCATGACAACTCGCGAGACTCCATTCGGCGAGCTGGAACGCTATCCGGTAGCAGGAAAACTGCCTGGACTATCGAGGAGAGGCTTCGGCTCTCAATCGTTCACTCGTGACCCATATGACGTAGAGGAGCGGGAACCATTTCTCCATTCTGGGTTTCCCCGCTGGGAAGGGAACTCTCCATGAGTCCGAAACTTTCACTCATTCGAATTAATTCTCTTCCAGCGGAAGAATTGAACCATCCGTTCTCGGAGCTTCTGTTTTCCCTTGCGGAACGTCATGTCATGATCAATAGTCGATAAGAAATAATCGCTACGAGAGAGTCTCCGATGAAACGGGGAAAGGCAAATCTGACGGAAACGCTGGTCTGCGCAGGAGGAGAAAGCTCGCTTCTCCATCCTCCCATGGACCCGGAAGACCCCAGGAGTCCGAATTCCGCTGCATCGGGCCGCGCCCAACAGAGTAAACGACCCGGAGAAGCGATTCTCCTTGAGATGACTCGAATCGGAGGTCCGGGTGCGCTAGTCTTCCGGGATGAACTATCGAAATTCAAGGCCTCGGGTACCCTTGCAGAGATTGTGTCACCCCGGAATGATCTTGAGAGCAACAAAGTAAGCGGGCCGATTGAGACCGTGGTCTGATTGTTCTAGGCGGATTCGGACTCGGTCGTCGCAGCGATTCGTGCCGCGTACACCGGTATGCATTAAATAGAACGTACTCTTTACGCTGCACCGTCGGTGACGCATCTCAAAATCACTTTGTTGAATTCATGAGAGCTCAGCGAAACACAAGCTTAATCTACAATGAACACGTGTGGGATTGCTTTCGCCACATATCTTCTTTAGCTCTTGTTGCTGCTTTCCTCTCATATGGTGATTAGCGAGCATGTCTTCGCCGTTCCGTGTGGAAGATGAGCTTGTCCTCTGTTTGTTGAAAGCAGCTCATGATATCCGGAAACATTGGCACATGTGTCGACGGCTACTTTGATAAATAGCTACATTTGGGAGTAGCCGCGACGGAACGGAAAACGCTCCGGAGTAGGAACAGTGTGCGACTAGATGACAAGGATCGTTTAGAGTCCGACACTACAACTGATAGTCTCAGCTCATCATGCTCGTTAAGATCGCTTGAACTCGGGCTTTCCGTTCTCAGCTGTCATGGGCTTATTTCGAGGTCTGAAATGTATCGACAGAATTTCGCAACGAGCCGATCACGCCCGCCCGCAAGAGCGGATCTCCGGAAAGAAATCGGTGTTCCATGAAAATATCTGTCAGAGTTGAAGAATCTCGATAGAATTCGATTGATTTCGATAGAGGTACTTGCTCCCTCAAGTGCTGGATGGGTGTCCGATTGGAAAGTCGCCAGAAAATCACGGTCACTGAACCGATGCATCAGTCCCAGTCGCGTCTGCTGCTTGTCGACTCAGCGTGATTGAGCATCCAGACGCGGACAAAAATGATTCCAAACGAAAACACCTACCTTACTCCAGGCGCTTCGGTGCGACGGGCGATCTCTACGGTGAATTTCCCCCCGATAAGTGGCGATGAATAGCTTTCGATATGTGGTAAGACTGAGCACTGGGTCTTGACGTGAAATGATCGATGGTGCGACATAATCTTCCCTCTCTTCCGCGTTCATTCCCCACAATGCACCCGAAAGGACCGATTCAGATTTCATTCAGACTGGCTCTGATGCTTGATACCGAATCTTTCCGATACCGGACGTTCAAATTGTACCTCGATCGGCCGTGGATAGATCGACCTGAGATGGAAGGACAGAGTTGCTGAGCTCACCAGCTTCCCTACAGGGTGAGTAGCAGGGGAATTCACGTCTTCCAGCAACTGAGCGGTCGTATTTGCGAAACGACAGGGCGGCGCGATACCCCGCGCAAGCTACTGAAAGAGAAAAGAGGCGGGGCTTCGTGGAATACGTCACGAGATATGGCGCAATGAAGAAACGTAAAAACTCGAAAGAACGAAAGAGTAGTCAATGCTCGCTCACGAGCGGTCAATGAGAGCGACTTCGCTCGCGAAGCGGTGCATCTATTGCTGCCGCTGGTGGCCATCTGGTTTTCTTCTATGACAGTGGAAGAAAGGAGAAGCTACTACGAAAATGGCTAGCGAGCTATGATCTTCCATTGTGAACGGCCGACGAGCGTTTTTTCGATCGGTCATGCAGCGAGCCGAGCAGTCGGAGAATTTCCCGCTTAATCAGTCGCTTAGTCGATGGGTTTCTCTGTCCGACTTCCGAAAGCATCAAAATTCAATCGTTCCCAGACAGCCAGCGACAGTCCGAGCTGGTCACGGAAGGTGGGGCTGTTTCCACCCATGATTCCGAGCAATCCGGGTCCGCGGGAATATTCCACCCTGAAATTCCCCAATTCCAGTGCTTGTAGTCGAACTGTATGCATCCAGTTCTCGGAGAAGAGTGGGGCTTGGGATCTTGATACGTTCGCCATTTCGCCTTGTGTTCCGCAAATAAGATCCGTCAATCACCTCTATCAGGTGATCTAAACGGACAGCGATAATCATATTTAGATAGGTCGGGCGAGCGGCACAAGCACTCGAGGTGAGCAATGAATAAAGACGTTTATTGAATTTTACATCGATTAAGATTCCACTCGGATGTAGCGAGGAGGCACGGAGGGAGAAAGTGCATCACAAAAGCGTTGACGATAAGAGTCACCCACTTCTAATGGAGCTCGACTGAGAGGGAGGGTGGAGTGGGTCTCAGCTAGCGTATCTGTTTCGTTTCAAAAACCGTAGATGCTCTCCGATTATTGAAGGACTGTACTCGTTGGTGAGCTACGGATCCTGATATCCGGCATACCATCGCTCCTTCGACCATCCACGGGCTCGGGAAAATGAAAATGTCGATGATGTTTTTCTCTCTAACCCGATGCTGATTTTACAGCGCTTCATTTTCCACTCACACTCCCCCGTACGGGATGTATTGCGGCGCTCGCTCTCCCTGAGAGTATATTCAGATGGCGACCGATGCGATGAGGAGGCTCCCGACCTACCCTCTCCTTCGCTGCACCGCAGGTGTCGCTTATCTGAAGTTGGGTCGAGATCGAATTTCCCTGCGGTCGCTATGTTGCTGTATGGGTCCCGTCGCTGCTCGGTGAATGTTGCCCTGAATGAGTGATTGAGGAGCGAGCGGGGGGAGGGGGCTGAGCGAGCAAGATCGGCTAGTGGTCCTCGAGGCTTGCCAGCCGCATAGATAACTAATAATATTAACAAGTGATTGCTGGATGATTATCTGAAGTCATTCAAGAGCTCGAGGGAGACCCGGTGTCTGCGGAGATAGGTAAGTCACATGATCGTGATTGCAAAACAGGTTCCGATCGGGCACGGCGGCAGGTTGGGTGAGTGAGGAACCCTCTTGAGGCTCGCGATGTGATTCCGAGCATGTTTCAAAGAAGGTTTCCACAGATTCCAGGGGTGTAGGACGAGTTATGAGAGCTGGGCTTGGAGATCAGGAATGAGTCCTCCGATAATGTACTCCAGGGATCGTGTCGATGTTTTGTCCTTGCTCTTTCGCCATCATATCTTTACCTGGGAGAGATAAGATCAACCTGCCGACACGAGGCAGAACAGGTTTTATCATGCGAGCTCCGTGGGAATCCGATCGCTTTCTCGATTCTCAAGGCAGATCCAAATGATGAAAATTCTTCACCGCCATGGATGCGAGCATCTATTTTTTTTTAGCGAGGGGAAGGAGAGTGGGTGGGATTCCCCCACGAATCCTCGAGGAGCTAATCAAAGCGGATCGACCCTCGGGACTCCCAGATATCCATTCCAAGCTGACGCCTATCGACTGCTTTATTAGACTCGACTCGATCACTGAACTTCAATCGCTCCGTCGCGTACGTCGTCTACGCGTTGTGAATCAACGGGGTCCTGTTTCCTGAAGAAGCTGTACAGCTTATCGGAGCCCTTCGCCCACCAAGTCCCACGCATTTTCCGCAGTCCCTGAACGATCTTGTGGTTTGACCCATGCGTGATGGAATAAAGAGTCTTCGTGAGCTTGTACGTCTCGGCGAAGCGGCCGTGATTCGGATTTGACGACTTGTTCCAGCCTAATTTAACCATGGCCTGACAGAGATAATGGAATAGAGGCTCCAGAGACAGGATCGATTCAGCACCGTTGGTAGCGCGAATTCCGTATTCGATGCTCTCTTTGTACTTGCCGAGCTCGAAGCAAGTCGGCTGCATCTGGATGAGCAGCCAGTACACATAGAAGTTCTTCTCCGGGAGATTCTTTACTTTTTCCAGGAGCTTCGTGCCGATTTCGTACCACTCATCAGAAGAGTGATATTCTTCGAACGCTTGCTCGATCTCGGCAACAGTTTCCCCGGCCGCTTGATCCGGCTCAGGGTTCCGGGCTTGCCAGACGCATTTTCTGCAGCTACAAATGAAGTAGTAATTGTTCAAGCACCGCCTTAATCTGCTTTCATAAGGCAGGGTCGGAGGCATGTAATGAATTGTCATCTGGAGTGGATCGTCGATTCTGAAGTCCTGTATGGCACGCAACAATATTTTTCTGCCGTTGAAAATCTGAACGTATTCGTTGCTGGTGACACAAGAGTGGTTCGTTTTTGAAGCGGCCAGGTAGACGGCTCGTCCTCGCGAGAAGAAATGAAAGTCGTTGTGGTCGACGATCGAATGACAATTGATTCTGCATCGCTGGAGAATGTCCATAACTTCCTCGAGCTGAGTGAACACGAAGGGTGACACGATGCTCAGAATGGTCTCCGCTCTTTCCTTCGCCTGTTCGAATTCCGACGGACTCAAGTCTTCTATGTGGCTCAGGAGATCATAGATGGTTCGGGTGCATGAGAAGAAGCTCGCTTCGGAAATCGAGTGGCTTTGTCTCTCTCGAATGAACCTGTCCAGGGTTCGGATCACCATTCGCGTCTCTTCGTCCAGAACATCGTCTTCTGGGCCCAGCGCTCGCAGCACTTGGCATTCGAGCCGGTGAAATACTCGGTCCTTACTCTGAAAGTGTGATTGAGGGTCTACTCATCCATTCGTCGACCAGGGACGACGAATCCAGAACAGGCTCAGAGGGAGCGAATCATCGTACGCAGGCTCACCTTGCATCTCTTGCTGCAGTAGTGGAGCCTCTTGCATTTTTCGCAGCTGTGAGATGTGCCGCGAGAAATGCAGTAGCTGCAGACCGCTGAGAGGACATCGGAACTCAAGGCGCAAGCGTAAGGATCATCTTCGTGAATAATGTCACCAGTGGAATAAGTGAGCGGCTCATCGAGCGTTTTCGACGAAGACATCGCAGATGTGCCACCTCGTTGTCTGTTATTTCCGATACATGAATTGAACTAGGGGCTGGGGAGGTCGCTCAATTTCTAGCGTCCAAGACAGGCCGTCGGGATTCGCTCATTTCCGGATCGTTTTCGCACAGTACAAATGCTTCTGGTACTGAGGGTAAAACTGTTGTTAGTATACAGCCATGTATACTCTATGCTATAAGAGCGATATCCTCGGGAAGACCACGCATACAAGCCCGGTCACCGAGAGCACGAGAGACATCAGCAGCAAAATCTGTATTTGAATACTAATTATTTTCTGGATTTCAAGTCCAGCGCTCAGTCGAAGATTAGGCGCATTCTGAAGCTCATTGACATCGGAAACTCCGAATAGCTCGGTTCTCCGTTGGGGTCGCGAATTTGAGCGCACTCTCCGGTTCCGAGGTTCCCGAAGAGAGTCTCTGCTTTCCTGTCGAGAGACAAGGAGAAACATGATCGAATCCTCTCGCATGTGATCTAATTCGGTGCCGGAAATATTGAGGATCCGACGAACTCCAGTGAATATTTATTCGTTTCATAAGCTTAGAGCACATGAATGTGTGTTCCATCTCCTAATATAAATTATACGGTAGGCGGTTCCTGGAGCTTGCTTGGCTTCTTCTTCTTCAGATGGTCGGCGATTTCATCCTATACAATCAATATAATACAATCAGTTTCGATGCTCTCCGCGGATCGGGACTCCTCGGTGATGAAGTTTCGTTTCTGTTCTGATTATTGAATCGTTCCCTATCGGAGCTGCTGTCCTGAATTAGATTTCTACTCACAACCCTAAGGGGAAGAAAACATATCAAATTGAGATATACTACAGAATGTGATGTAACTAAAGCTCTACGAGAAATTCAATTCGAAGGAGCGAAGTTTTCAGTTTTTTCATAAGTACACTATTTTCATCAAGGTGGACGACCGACAGAATTGGCAAATGAGTACGCGAAAAACTCTAGGCGAAAATGATCCCCCTCCCGCGCGCTGCACTACGCGAGCCATGGCTCAAGTTCAGTTTTTAGAAGATTCAGAGCTTTTGAGCAATGGCTGCTGCTCTTGTTGCTGCTGCTGCTGCTGCTGCGGCTGCTGTTGTTGGGTCGGTTTTTGCATAGGACCCACGGCTTCCGGGAACTTCTCGTCCGAGGCTCCCGATGGAAGGTGAGTTTTTATCGATTTCGACGATTTGACAGGGGACGCTTTCGCCGTGAAGCCGTTGCTACCGTATAATGAAGAGAAGCGGGATTTGTCGTATGATGATGATGGTGAAGAACTGGAAGAAGATATCGGCATCGAAGGGTAGAACCCGGAGGCTGTGGCGACGCTTGCGTGGGGATTCGAAGCCGATGAAATCGGTGAGACAGCCGACGATGCCTTCGATGACGGGGAAGAGGATGACACACTAGACGATACGGATGACGAGTACGATGGCACGAACGATGGTTTCGAGGGAAGCGACGCCGAAGAGTAATCCTTCACGGGTTTGTTAGAGACTCCTGGGCGGGACGAGAAAGAATTGAGATTCCTTCGACGGTCATCAAGATCGGACCTTTCGGCGGTCGGCTTAGTCGTCAATATACACTCCCGTTTCTCCCGTCATCCCATTGAATAAATAAAATGTCTTCGATCGGATGACTCATCGTTATCTGTCTCATCAGGGAGAGTTTCGAATTCGGTCACCAGAATAATGAAGCTGCACGCAGCTCACCTGTGAAGGAAGTCGGGTAGCCAGCGGATGATTTAGCGGAGAAATCCGGAGGAATCCGAGGTTGCTGAGCCGGTTGCGGAAGGTAGGATGCGGGTCCGGGTCTGTAAATCGTTCCCGGGGCGGGTTGGTAGAAAGCCGGCGCGACCGAGCTCGAGCTCCTGGATCCCATTGACAAAACATTAGCGGCTCGGATTTCTTGGCGGAAAATGGCTGAGCATCGATCGATGTCTCAAATCTCATTCTAACGAATCATCGACTCACCTGAAGAATAGGGAGTTCATGAAGCTCCTGAAGCGTGTTGAGATCGAAGGCTTGACAGCTTTGGGGGGAGGAGCCGACCCTGACGCCATGTAGTCGCCATAGGCAGCTCCAGGTCCGGATAAATCAGCAAACTGAGCCCGCACTGAGTCTCCCACAAAGTTGTATCCATACGGATGCGGGAGACGACCGGAAGATCTGTAAATATTTCGCTTGAGTAATCGGAGGATACGAAATGTAGCTCCCATGACGGCCATGGATCAATAGAGCGCGGTTTTCGTTGAGGTCGTGCTCTAAGAATTGCTGCCGAACAGGGAACTATCAGTTCTCACCGATGCTGGAATACTTACGGAGAAACTACCCCCGACCTGGAGAGAAGCTGGCGCTGTTGAACCGCTCGCCGCAACGCCAGGATGTCGGCCACGCTCAGTTGAGGTACTTTGGAGCTACCTGCTGCGACAAGGTTGCCATTCCCGACAGGGTTCTGAGGAAACGATCCACTCTGTACCGGAACAGGCGATTTCTGGGGACTCGCGCTGCCGCCGATCGGGTGCACCGATTGGGCTGCGGCTGCCGCCGAGAGTGCGAGGCAAACGAGGACAAACTGCAAACGATTTTCACGTCAGTTCCGAGCATCGAAATCTTTCGTGTGGTATCTGTTTCCGTTCCCGCATGCGGTTTCCAAACGGTTTCCAGTAAAGTTCTTACAAGTGATCAATTATCATCATCCCTGTGTGCGCTGCCCGAGCAGAGATCAGATATTCTTCCCGAGTTCTCCGACTCAGCCTCGGGTATCGATGCTCAATCAGAGCTGGTTTCCCGGAAGCAGTCAATTCGAAGAGCTGTCTATGACAACTTGTTTGGTCTCGCTCCGTTTCCAACGCATCGGACGACATTCGTCAAGGGAAAGGGATGGCAAGAAAATGAGAAGGCGTTCACCAACTCGTTCAGATATGCGTTTCGTGTCTTCTGAACAGAACGATTATGTGTCCCTATACGAAACTGTGACCACAAAGAGGCAAATGACTGACTGAGAGCTGAGGCGAAGAGCAGAGAAATCAGTTGGAAAAAGACATGAGACCAACGGAACGACTCAGTGGCTAGCTCGGTGGCGGGAAAGCGGGCGGGCGGGCAGACGGGCGGACGGACGGACGACCCGACTTTCTGCTGAACAAACATCTTGCCGAACAGTGAAACCGACATTTATCCGAAAGCAATCCGCTCTACGTCTGACTCATTGCTGAACTACTTTCTCGAGTTTTGCCGACTGTAAATCCACCAAGGGAGCGGAAAACACTCGTTCCGACTCAAACTATTCGTCTCTGTCAACGGAGTGGAGACGTCGGGGAAAGCGTTTGAATATTGAAGCCGTTTTCTGACACATTCTTCGCGGAATTTTCCTGTTGGGTGAGGCTTCTCCTCAGCGTGTTTTTTGCTCCGGACTGAATCGATCGATGGTTCCCCGTGGAGCAAAGCCATTGTGAAGCAACCCCTCAGAAGTATTCTCGTTCCGGCACAGAGGAGCCGCTCGCGGATGAAATTAAAATTCGGCGTCAAAAAGCCATCCGCTCCTGTGTCTTCCACTCGTCGGCGTATTTAGGCCGGGGTCGTGCTATTGACCTTGTCTCGGTTGGAGTTTAGCGGGGACGATGACCGCTTAAGACGTGGAGAAGTTTTCGATGTGGCATTGCGTTACCACCAGGCTCCGTCTTCTACGTCTCGTCGAGAGAAGGCTCGCTAAACGGATTCTCACCGTCAGCCACCGTGGCCGCACACAGCACCGAACGATCCGAGAATTCGACCAGAAAGTTAAGCAGACGCTCGCAGACGCCAGCGACCGGGTCCACCGCCCGTTGCGGCGACTATCCAGCCGAACGGTCGAGTCGGCCGACAGACGAACACTCGAAGTTTTGAGAGCTCATCGTGAGATGATCCTCGAAACACGAGAGACATATGGGACATATTCTCCTGCCAAAACGATCGTTTTGACCCGATTCCCCAGCTCATCATTCCATGGGCTCGGGTTCATACTAGAAGCACTAGATAAGCCTCCAGGAACCTTAGCGTTGAATCATCTCTCGCATCATACAAAACACATACGTCCACTATGGAATCAAAACGAAAGAATAGAAGAAGAACTCGGAAATAATCTTACGCGAGCAGGACGGAACTCCGTGAAAGGAAAGACATTGCCGGGTAGAGCGCTAGTCTGCTCGCGAACTTCCGATCTGCAAGTTCATGGCTCACGCGTTCGGAAACGTCGGTCGTGTGAATGTGCGCAACAAGTACGCAAGCCTCCGACCGGAACAATGAACGACATGAAAACGCTGCGGAACGACTGACAAAATAATACGCATATCGCCATGAACGAAAAGCGAACGATTCGACCCGATCGCTTCATGCTCAATGAGAGAAACCGAAGAAACATGAATTCCATTCGGATGTCCGGCTCGTCGTAAGCGGCGCCGCTGCTGCCGTTTTCGGTATTATTTGTTTGCTCTGGCACTCTTCAGGCAAACGGGCACTTTTTCAGGGGAAAAAAGTATTTTCCGGAGCTCGGCTGATGAGCGAAGGAGAAGAGGTTCCGCTTACTGGAAGAAGTCGAAATATAAATCGGTTCTCCACCGGACGCCGGTCGTGCCGTAACAGCAAAACGGGGCTTCGGCGCCCGCGCTACGCCACAACTGGGTGTGAAAGAACGATTTTTGCGAAGCGATTCCTGTGCCACGCAGCTCGCGGAAAGCGACGAAAACTATAAAAAGTCGAGACGGAAAAAGCCCACCGGAAAGAATATTTCGAGGGGAAACAAAGTACAGGCGATACTCAACCGGGAAGGGTAACATCGAAGTGCATTCCCACCACCTTCCCTAAGCCGAGAAGAACCGGGAAGGGTCCAATGAGTAAATGCGATTATTACGAATGTTTTCGTCATAACTCGAGACGATTATCTCAAACTACCGCCTAACGCCTCCCGCGAACCAAAATTCGCGATGCTCCATGGGCGAAATCGCAAGTTCAAAATCTTCGTTCCAAAAGGCAGCCATCGGAGAGGTTCTCACGTGCGACCCTAGAACGCGAGAGACACTTCGACGCCTGGGTTTTCTGTGCGGAAGCTCGATTTCGATCCCAGAGATTTCTGGGACACTAAACGAATCGGGTGTACCGCACCGGCCCTATGTCCCCGCTCCTGCCACGTGCCGTGTTTGACGGAAGATGAATCACCGAGATCCTGTGTAAGACTCTCCGAAGAGCCGCTTTGCGATATTTCCCAGAGCGCGAAGCGCCCGGTGTCCACGTGAGCGACGAGCTTCAGGGCAATTACCGCTCGACACACCGGCGGAGAACCAGGTCAATTATATAACGTTCTACAAAACTCTTCTCTTCAAGGAGCCGCAACTTCACGCTCACAGACCGCCATCCCTGCGGAGCTCATGCCTCCGGACAGGACTGACTGAGTTCAATACCCACTCTCGTGGAGGGACGTCGAGTTTTGACATTTATCAAACGTATCACTAGAATAATCCAGAGCGGGTCATCGACGGACAGCACTGAGTCGGGATCTGGAATCTCTCGATCGGCACGTCCGCACCGTTGATTTTCCGGAATCCTTCACCCGATTCGAGCACGAGATGGCGTAGCGAGACCACAGACGGAGACAGGTGACTCAAGCGAAACCATCGTGAAAATCAGCTCGGAAACGTTCAGCGTTCAGATGTCATCCGATGGAATTTTCGGGCTGAAGCCCCGAGGTGATAGGATGATTGGAGCCCGGACTCGACAAACTAAACTCAATCGAAAGGGCACGAGTCCCTACGAGAGAACCCGTCCGCTACTCACCATTGGTGACGAGATGGTCTTCCAGCTGCGCGGATCAGGACTGGAGTGTCAGCTCTGCGCGTTCTAGCTCTGCTCTTCAGCACTGACTGGTCGCACAAGGGTTTGGCCGTTTCTGGGTCAGCAACTCTCGCCCACCGCTCCCTTAACAACGAAGCTACTTCGGTGCATCTTCAACTTTTTTTTAGCTCCAATAATTGATCAATGCTCGGAGTGAACGAGTTCATTCCATGGCTGTACCGGTAAAGATGAGTGGATCATGCCCTCGGAGGGGGAATTCGGAATCTATACCCTCCCCGCGGCGAATGCCGATCGAGAAGCATTCCAAGCCCCCTTCCCCTCCTCTGTGGGGGGAATTCCCGCAATGAGACAGTTTTCCTTACATCGAGAAAATAGCCGCTAGCGATGTGCTTTGATTCATGGAAATTAGAGGCTCGCTCGTTTGCTGTACCTACTTAAAGTACGTTCTACAGAATCTGAAATTGGGTCACGGAAAGTACAGAGGCCTCAGAGGAATGTCGGGCACCACAGCATTGCGTAATAGCCAAAGGCCAACGTACGGAGCAACGAAGAGGCGCAACATTCCCGCCGAAGAATATACAGTGATTCGACCATTCGCATGGCTCTCCGGTAGCATCCATCTCTGTGATTCCAACATTTTTCTCGAAACGAAGGCGAGATCGGTGTAGTGTTGCGAGAATCATGAAGCTCAAGCACCGACTGTTCTTGAGCTACTCGAGAATTTAATGAGCGATATGATGGATTAGCTCAACTAACTAATCTTGTCTTTTCGGGCTCCCGGAAGGAGGCACGGCGATCTTTTCGTTGTGTAAGTGTTCTCGTGTGAGTCGACTCCTAAGTCTAGGCCTAAGGCTTTTGCGGAAGATTCTCCTGTCGTTTAAGTTCAATATTACATCCTCCAATTTCGAGAAGATTCTCAGCTCATTGCTGAGCGATTCCTCACTTGATGAGACAGACCATTTGGCGGGCGAACTGAGACTGATATCCTGTACATCTGAGAAGTCGCGTCGAGTTTACACAGAATTCAGGGAAAATTACAGATAATTGCGAGCCCCGACAATGAAACAAAGAAACTTGCTCAAGAATTCCAAAAAGGGAGGATAATATCCTGATAGAAGTAAAGGCCGGGTGGAAGCCGAAAGGGTTTCTTGTCATTTTCACCAGACTCGTGATTCTTTGTACCCCTTTCCTAAACAGCATTTAAACTCATCGGATCTCCAGAGTTGTAGAGTGTGTTTCTTCCCGAGAACGGAATGTCCCGCCACTGCAAGATGTTTCTTCTGTCCGGTGAGTGCTGCTGTCAAGATAAGCCCTATTAGAATTAAGACCGCGGTTCTCATCCTCATTAAACGGTTCACCCAGCGGGTCACTCGGCACGAGGACGAATAATTTCCTTGTTTGTCCCCAGTTTTGGCGCTCCTCCCGGCTACACTGCGGACCGCTCCCGTCGAGAACGAGAAATGCTCACTGAATCGGCTGGAGCGATGCTCTCGTAGCTTCATGTTCTTTGCTCTCAATGACACTTTGCCGTTAGAAAAAGACGTTTTGGAGGAAATATGCAGGTGACTACCAATATTCTAATGCCTTTCTGGGTCAGCGATGTAGATGTGAATTCCGGGAGGAATCCGGCTGACGCAGCACATGGCGGTCTATGCGTCTCGATACAGTAGATTCCATTCATTATTTATCAGGAGTCTAGGTATCATTATCAATCATTATCAGGATTTTCATCGCCTATTAGTGGTCGGTCGATGAGAGCATTGGTTCGTCGGACCATCCGCTCCATCCAATCGCTCTGAGAGTGTCCCGAGCCATTTGTTGCATCGATGAAAGCTTCGCATTCCGACGGATCCTCCGCTCCGAAAGAGTGGGGGACCCACAATACTAGGCGTCTCAATATCTTTCCCGAGTTGAACATCTCAGACTGGCAAAGATCGTGGCTTGGACAGCTTTGAATTTCAGGACCGAGAAGGAGGACCTCACCTGCTTGAAGGAATTTGAAGAAGCACGATGTCTTCACGGTCTGTCGTTCGCTCTTTTCAAAGGTTTCAGGGAGGGGATCACGGATGAACACCTTGGGAAGTGTGACCTGTCATCGACCCGGAGACAAGGTTGAGCGTAATCTTAAGACTCTTCCCGACTCGGGAGATACTTCTTTCTCCGATTCAGAGCGAATCGCCGCACGGCTCCTTCTCCGACAGATAAACCAATATAACCCGATTACTCCTTGATTATTCCAGAATATGATAAATACATTCCGTGTGTGAATCGTGCTGGTAGGAAATTCAAAGTCTGTATGCGGAGAGCGATACAGGTAGCAGAAACAATCGACCGGGATATTCCTAAGAGATACCGGATTCCACTTGGGTGCTGGTAAGTGTTCCTCGGGTGCGAAGCTTTTTTTGATTCGATGCCGCTGTGGTTGGAGATTTGAACAGTGCCCGTCAAACGAAGTGCTCGTCGAGTGAGTGGGGCAACTGATATCTCGAGCTGAGAAATGTGACGTGTTTTGACGAGGAGCGGACACTCACAATTTTTTGCGACCATGAATCCACTCATGCGTTCCGTCAGCGATATTTTCGCTTCCGATTCATCCGGTATTGGCTTTCTCGAATTCCAAGCACTAAGAATCATCATTTACTCACACATTGAAGCGTCGACGTCATTTTATGTTGCAGCGCCTTCAATAGCTTTCTGTCGTGTGTTAAGGAAGCGACCGAAGCCACATGCGATTCCGATCATACGTCCTATGTCGAAGGTTTTTTGAGTAATATCGCGGGACCGATTTTGAGCACCACTTGCGAATCGTATCCGGTGGGCTCGTGCGACTCGCTCCCCAAACTGAATCTGCGGGCGCCTGAAGCTGAAACTTTTATTATTCCGCTGATTAGCGCCATGAAACCGCTCGGCTAACACTCGGGAAATCTTGGACGGAATTGTCGAACATTGCATCCCTCGAGATTTTATCGCTCCGGATTAATAAAGCAACACCTCTGGTCAAGCTCGCACAGAGTGCACTTTCTTGGAAAAACTCATCTGATTCGTTCTGCTCTTCCTCGAACGTAATAAGGGTCTCACGGGGCGTGGAGGCACTGAGGAGGGCCAGGAGTAGGCGATAGGTCAGCGAGTGTCAACAAACGCCGCTGACTTCCATGCTAATAGAATGGTGGAGGTGCACAGGGCCACGGGAGAGTATGCATAGATTTCAATCGAACAGACAGACGTGCCATCTAAGAAACTCTCCACTGAATTATCAGAGATATGCAGGAATGCTCATATGTCCGAACGCCCATGCCGCATGGATGTAGCTCAAGGATTCCCTCCGTTTCACAGCATTATTCCGTCCGATCGCAAATCGATCCATGCGCTCACCACAGCAACTTGCGTCGATTTGTTCGCTCACGAGAATCCGCATCGACCGGCTCTTCGGGTCCTACCGAACATCCAGCTCTTCCGAAGTGGTTCTTGAACAGTGCTAACGATGTATCGAACGGGAGGACGAAGTTTTCAGCAACCTCTGTTGCTCCGTTCACAGCCATCGCTCTCCCTGACCCCTGATCGAAGCCGATTTCCCCTTCCACCATGGTCCCAAGAGATGAGACCAACAGTCGTCGCGAAACCATGGAGTGCATCGATCTTCTTCTGGAAATTGCTTGAACAATGGAGGAGGGAACATTCCGCTCCTCCGCTCCGTTTGGAATTCCATCGGCGGTACGATGAGCTCGTAATCCTATACTGAGCCAAAGACAACGCGAACCCGAAATCTCATTCGTGGAGAGCGGTAGCTCGTGCTCGAACGGAATGCAAGGCTACATCGAGATCTCAGGCAGTTGGTTGAGAAGCCCCCCACGCGTGGGCAGGGAGACTGCGTCGAGTTCGAGTGACCACTTTTACTTCCAGAACTGCAGAAGGGCACACCAATATCAATAGCCATTGGTAGATACCTGCAGTGATTTCTTGGTAGAAAGGGCAGAGCGAGAATTCGTCGCGATTGACAATCGATGGATTCTACTACTGCGGCTGGGCTGCCTTCAAGCGTCGGTTTATCTCGGGATCAATCGACCTACGACGCTATTTTCCCAGCACTCCGCGTCTCTCATCTTCCGACGGCCGCTGTTGGGAGCCTCTGAGGAAGCGGCGAACCGTGAGTTCCGAAACCGCCTCGGCATCATTGATTCTCGCCGTCGGAGCATGCTATTCCACAGGCGATCGGGAGTAGTGGTCACGAGCCATCACGTCGGTCGAATATAGCTTATTGTTAGAATCCTGAATCCTGTTTAGAGTCCGAATCAGCGAACATTCCCTCGGGAGTTTGGCTTGGCGCCTGTAAATACTACATTCGAATACTCGGATGGTCCCTCGGATCATCCAGGGCGCCTTGACCTACGCTGCACTGAACACGAGTAGCTCGCGGAATCGTTCCTTATCCGTTCCAGCTTCCGAATTTCTCTCGAGTTTGCAGAGAGAGGGACAAACATTCTGATGAAAAGACACGAAGACGGGAGCCGCGGGGCGAGGAAATGGGAAGTAGCGACTACCGGCGAAGGTTTTACAGAAATTCAGGTGAGATCGCTGTCTGGGGAGAATGTTCGGCAGAGCGAGGGAAATATACAGAGCTAACATATCGAGCATGGCATAGCTGTACCCTAGCCACAGAATCTATGCGGATCCTGATTGAACGTGGTATCGAACTACCGGATTTCTTCTGGGTTCTTCGACTTCAGTACTTCATGACTCATGACTTCAATGCCGTCATCGAATGTCAGGTCTTGGATACCTCGCTCCGATTCAAGAATACTATTTGGGCTGTTCTTGGGGTGAGAGCAAGAGCTCCGGTACGTCTCACAAAATAGGTCGTGTTTGAGAGTAATATGAAGCTTCATTGATTCGCCTCCTTGGCCCGATCGGCCCTTCTCCAAGCGTTTCATAGAGCACATCCTTCCAAATAGTGATCGAGCTCCCTGTACAAACAGTTTTCCTCCCAGCCCTTCCAGAAACGGAATCCGTACTGGTTCACAGCGATCGAGGCACATCTCACATCGTTTTTCAAGTCCTCATCGAGGAAAGCTGAGCACAGCTGGTGACACTTGCCCGCTCGCGTGTCTTCTTTGGCCTTGTCCACGCAGTACCACTTGCTCGGAAACTGAAAAATCCAAGAAGGACACTCAGTGACTTATTGCAGGAATCCGGCTTCAACTGAGGTTCTGAGAATGCTGATTCGCTCCGCGCCGATGCTTGTAACTTCCTTGAGTCTAGAGAACGTTTGTTCGACCGAATCGCTCCAATGATGTCGCCCACTCACCTGAAAGATGCCCACGGTCCGCTGACCATTCTGTCTTCTCACGTTGTGAGTGAGATTGAAGCCGCTGACCATGTCCACTATGCACAAAAACTGTTTCAGGTGCCAGGTTCTCTTGTAGGCAGTCAGCTCTTTCAGTTTCCGAGCAACGAAGCATCTGTGCACTTTACGCCCGGCAACTTGGGTCACAAATATGCTTAGATAGCTGAAGATTAGAAAAAGCCTCAGTAGTACCATTTTCCCGGCCATCAAAGGAACTCGGGACCACTGGAGCAATTACCGCATCCCGCTTCCTCCATCAAACCCGCAGTATCGCAATGCTCCGGCAAAATTGAGCGACGGGCTCACGGTGGGATGAATTTGACTCCAGGAAAAGAACGGTCGCTCCGAACGACGACGGATCGACTAATGCGCTTTCTCTCCCCGAATCGAAGTGATACGAGCGTGTCATCCGAACGCGCGAATGGCGTGAATAGAAACTTCCAGCGGACTTCTGAACACAAAGCCCTCGCTGACACAATCTGCATCGAACTAAACGTTTCAAAGCTCCCGTTAAGGTCGCATGAGCGAGCTTTTCCCTTCCCGTATCGGGCACCGAGTTCGGCACAGCCAGAATTTCGATAATGTACCCTCAACAAGACTCCTCGCATCATCGGATTTACACCAGAGCAGCGAAACTTCTGACGGCCCCGATTGAATTTGAATACGTTTGTCACAGCTCAATCCTTTCCTAGAGATAAAGAGCAAAATTTTCCCTCATTTCATTCTCTTGTCGTGTGTGATGAGTTCTTGCGTATGTCTCTTGATCCCAAGGTCAACCCACAGTCAATTTTTCACCCAGTTATGCCGCTGCGAGTGCGTGCAAGGGACTCGATTGACAATAATTGAAAATAATCGGTCCGCTGTTGTCATCAACACTTGTTGAGCTGGTTGACGGCTAGCTATCATTGAGCGACCACACACAAGGACAGCATCCCTCTTCGCTCAGGTCTCAGCTCGAATGTGGACTTCAAGTAGCCGAGAGACAGATCTAGATCCTCAGTCGGCTGATCGTCATGTACCGCCTAATTGTGACCTCGTGTGTTCTAACAATGGCTTCGGGACGGATCGTCGAGCGCTGTGAACTCGCGCAGAAGATCGCGAAACACACTCCTTTCAAAGATGCGTGGAACGTGAAACAATTAGTCTGCATCGCCGGCTATGTCTCTGGATTCAACACCAGCAAAGTTGTCGCTCGTCAAAACTCTCAACAGTCTGTGGGGATATTTCAGTTTCCTTCGAAATATTTTTGCTTGGAGAACTATCCGACGCGAGGCCGTGCGGGGACTTGCCATCGATTGTGTTCGGCATTCAAGGACGACAATATACGTGACGATGTCGAGTGCGCCGGAATCGCGGTGTCTCTACACGGCTTCCGTTTTTGGAGGAATTGGTATAACTACTGCTTCCTGAACCCAAACATCACGAGCTACATACGCGGATGCGGCATCGATCCCTGACACCCTGGTTGTGAGGATCCGAGGTCTCCGCGATTCCCCCCGGCCGGGGGCGAACCACAAGGATTGGTGTCGTCTCCGCGAAATCTGTTTCTTAGTAGGGCAATAGGAGTCATGCACGAATGTAGAATGAAGGGATGGAAACGTCGAAGACGAACGATTCACGTAAGGGTGTCTGAGCCTGATGACACTGATAACCATCAATAGCTTATCCTGCGTCTGATGAGGTATCAGCGACACCTCCTACATCATCTAGCGAATTAAGAGCTCATCCTCAGATAGTGAATTATTAGAAAATACATATTATCCCATCTTGCGTCTCTCGGATAGCTCGAGCGGCTTGTGTATATGAATCATGCTGTGCGGCCTATATCATGGAGTCGACCCGCCAATAAAGTAAGATATATGTTCATAGGGAACCACGTGCAGGGATGTCTTCTTTCTATCAGCAGGGTGGTCTTTCGATGCATCGCGACTCTTGTGTTTTGATCGACGTGCATATGTAGCTCTGAACCAGAGGATCTCAGACCCTCGCTTGGATGCAGAAACATCCGGCTCATCGTACATGATCTCTTCGAGCGGCGCCTCGATGAGACTTGGTAACAAGCGATGGCATGGCCTCCGAACAATAGGTGTTTCTTCTAGGAGCCCGCTGGTTGGTCGTCTCGTGGATTCCGCGCGTAGAACGCCCAGGATCGGGAGGGCATGTCGGGTGACGATGATATGATACAAACGAACATACAATAGTACATGATAGTAATATGATAAATGACGAGCTTCCAGAAACAGCGTCAGCCGTTCGCACTGGACGCCCAAACCCTCCACTCATCATCCATTCAAGCATCCTCTCACTCATGCTCTCCCTCTAGGAGCAAGGGTTACTCCCTTTCATTCTACCCTGCTACCGTGTTTCGAGACCGTTCAAGGGAGGGACAGACAATGGATTGTCACGAAAGATTATGAATGATCACACCTCGTACAGAAGCTCTGGATGATTGAGAGAATCAGACATTCCAATGTCGCCAAGAAGACTGAGAACCCGAGGTCCCGATTCTTGATAAATTCGCACATCCTCCGACGACGACTCTGGCAGTGGCTATTCGAACTCTCCGATGGGAGAACTGACGCTTCCGCGCATTTCGTCCGATCGATTTTTCTGTGCCTAATCCTTGTTGTCTCGTCTATGTTATTGGCAAAAATCTTCCACGGCCAAGATTGTATTCCGCGACGCTCATCGACTCCTGCTGCCCACGCTGCGATTAGTTCCTGAACTCATATAATGCAACGGATGGACTTTTGGAGGAGCTGCTCGAACGAGCCGAATCATCCTTGCCGAACACCATAAAAATGCAGTTGTTCTGGTGACGGACGATTTGCATTCCTGGCTGTATTTGTCCTACAGGGAGCAACAGCTCATGAGTACCCTCACATGCTCTCTCAGTACAGTGTGGGGCAAATTTTCGCCGTGATTATGATTATGATTTTACCGTAATCATACGCATGCGTGTGATTATGACCGTAATCATACGCTTGAGTATGATTATGACCGTAATCATAATCACACGTGTGATTTTGATTAAAATCATAGTCATAATCACAGAAATCACCGTAATCACACGCATTCGTATGATTACAATCATAATCACACGTGTGATTATGATTTTAATCATAGTCATAATGCGTATGATTATGGCCGTAATCACACGAGTGCGTATGATTATAATCATAATCACACGTATGATTATGATTATAATCACAGACATGCGTATGATTTCGGCCGTAATCACACGAGTGCGTATGATTGTAATCATAATCACACGTATGATTATGATTATAATCATACGAAAGCGTGTGATTACGGTGATTTCTGTGATTATGACTATGATTATAATCAAAATCACACGTGTGATTGTGATTACGGTCATAATCATACTCAAGCGTATGATTAAGGTCATAAACATACGCATGCGTATGATTACGGTAAAATCATAATCATAATCACGGCGAAAATTTGCCCCACACTGTCTCAGTAGCGGATGCATTCCAAGAAAGATCTGTGAAGATACAGCGGTAGAAACTCATTGACTCTAGGCTCGATAAAAGCTGCATGATCGGGCAAATGTTCACCCAGTCCCCAGCTTGGGCGAAATAGCTGAAGTCGATGTTGTATATTAAGCCGCCAGCCGCTCAAGCGACAAGATTCCGACGTCCGAGTTTCGCATGAGCCGCCTATCTATCAGGACTCAGGGCGATGTTTTCGAATACCCAATCCATGAGGAAATGATTCCCAGGCGAGTACCGCAATAATGAGAAGAATCATTGAAATCTTTCGATTTTCTGCCCGCATGTTTTGTCTCTTTCGAGAGCGAACACGAATTTAAGGACGTGGATGAGATCAGCTGTCTCTTCAATCGACTTCCGGGAGCAGGAAGGCCAAGCGAGTCGGCTGTCCTCTCACGACAACACCGTCCACGCTGAGCAGCGCTCGTGTGAGAAGAATAGCCGGCCGCAGCCTCTCTGTGAGTACAAAATACAGCTATAGGAGGACGTCCGCCCGCAAGAATTTGTCCATGCCACGATAGAGCTGCCTGTCTCTCCTTGTGGCTGTTTTTTTAGCTGGAAATATCTTCGATGTCGTGAAGATCATCGCATGATACGATCCCTGACAGATTTGCCATTTGAATTTGTTCTGGTATCCCGGTGCCGGGAACGGGTAGAGCCGATTTCCGTGGCACAGTTAATGCTTATGGTTTTTGTGTCTCTCGATTCCAGACTTTCACGATGGCCGACGAGGTCTCGAAGGCCCAGACCGCGCAGCCCGAAGTCGACACCATCTTTGGGAAAATAATCCGAGGCGAAATACCCACGGAATTCATTTATGAAGATGATCAGGTGACATTTCGCGACGTTCTGCATGAACTGGATTCGTTTATGAGTTCTCATTGTTGTCATAGTCGTCTGTGTCTTTCATCCGGAGACAATCCCTGTGATGCGTAGCAAATTTCATGACACATTCTAGTGCGTTGCTTTCGACGACATCTCTCCCCAAGCTCCTGTGCACTTCTTGGTGATTCCGAGGAAACCAATAAGTCAGCTGTCGACAGCTGAGGAAGCGGATGAAGCTCTCTTGGGTCACCTGATGTTCGTGGCACAAAAGGTTCGCATGCAGATTTGAGCCCCAGGCTCTTGTGATCGACATAATCAATTATAATTTTTGTGCTCTTCTGTCATTTTGACATCTCTCTGAAAATGAAATTCTTCATGTCTCAGGTCGCGAAACAAAAAGGATTGACGAGAGGTTTCCGTACTGTGATCAATGACGGACCGGAAGGATGTCAAAGTGTCTACCACATCCACATCCATGTGATCGGCGGTCGCCAACTCACTTGGCCTCCTGGATAATTCGCTTGGCCGCAGACTAGTTCCTGATTCCAATTGGCTCATTCTGAGACTTCTTTACTCGGAGTATTCGATGGATATTTTTTTCGACAAAAAAACTCTCAATTGTTCTGTTCGACTCTCCCAAGCTTCTTCTCGTTTTATTCTTCGTCCAAGTCTTAACTTAGGGGTGGGTAAACGTGGAAACCAAGATAAATTGTCATAATCGCGACGAAATCGATTCCCGCTCTCACTGGGGAGGCGGCGGTGGATGATACTGTCCTGGGTATTGCATATATGGTGGTTGCTGCGCGTTGTACGGTGGCTGATAACCGGGAGGCATGGCATACGGATTGTAGCCCCCCGGCATTGGCACCTGATACATCGGGTACGACGGATAGGCGTAAAAGGGTTGCGGCATTCCCTGCGGTTGCTGAGGGTATGGCAAGGGTACGCTTGGGTTCGACTGTGCAGGTGCTTCATGTGTGGTAGTCGAAGGTGCCGTCGGAGGTGCATTGGTCTGGTACGTGGGAGGCTGAGATGGAACAGCTGACCCTGCGGGCAACGAGGCCGCCCCAGCCAGAGATTTCGTCAAATCTTTGACCAGCTCTTCCTTCTCAGTTTTCCGAGCGAAGCAGAAATCGTTGATCTTTGTTTGGTGGTTGAGAAGTAGGATGGTGAGCTCCCCGTAGAACTTGAGACCTTCGTCTAGATTTCCCATGATTTCAGTGAAGGCGCTGTGCGCAGCAGCAAGATTCTTTAGGACGTCTTCACGCTTGTCACCGCCTCCGCCGTTGCGTTTCATGAACTCCTGATGCGCGCTCTGGATCTGAACGATCAGAGTCTCCTGAGTTTCAAGGGACTCCTTCACCCGCTCTTGGAGAGGACCGAAAGCCCGGCCGATCGCCTCTGCGGTCATTGCTGTTTCGTTGATCGCACCGTCGGCGGCGAGGGCTTGCAGGAACTGATCCTTCATGTCGAGCGTCGTTGATTTGATCTCGTGCTCGAGAACCTCGCGCTCGTTGCCGAGTTTCTCGACTTGCTGCATCAAAGTCTTCAGAGTCGCCGTTTCAGGAGCGTTGCCCGCGGAGGCCACGGGGCCTTGCGGGATGTTGCCACTGAGCTCGCTCTCCGATCCTCCGAGAAGAACCATGGCGTAGCGATGGGCTTGGAATTTCTGCTGAACGACTTTATCCGCGGCGACAGCTTTGTCGATGATGCTGGTGTACTTTTTGAGAGTTTCTCGCATGGGTTGGTTGAGATTTGACGAGGGCAGGCGAGTCCATTTCTCCTTGAATTGGTTCTTCAGGTTCTGATCTGATCTCTCTTCGTCGTCCAGCATGTTCTTCGACTCTTCGACGATCTCACGATTCCGCTGCAATTGAGGACCCAACTCGTTCATCTTCGCCTCGAGAGCTTTCAGACCTCCTTTGTCCTTGACCTCCTGCGCTTTGCGTTGGATACTGGGCGGTAGCTGCGCTCCACCTGCCACGTCTTCGATGGCTGCGGGTAGATTCAAAGAAGCCAGCACACCGTTCAGAACCTGAGTTGCCTGTTTCAGTTTGCTCAACTCTACGGTGACGAGTTCACTTCGACGGAACTCTACCTTCTGACATCCTTGCGAAACGGATATCGGAAGGAGCGCGTCGAAGAGATTTTCTCGTTTCTCTACCGGCATCAGGGGTGAGCTGAGAGCGATCGCCTTGGCCACTGCGGCCGGCCTGATCGTTCCCAGCTGCTTGATCTCGGGAATCCGGGCGTGATAGATGAAATCGTTATCTTTCTTCGTGTCCTCGTAGTAGCGATTGGCCTTCCTCAACATTTCCAGGAAATGATCGCCGAGAGGAACGGTGGTGTTCTGTTGCATTTTCGTCTGCACGACTCTGAAGTTCTCCAGTGCGACTTGCAGTCTCGCGAGTTCTTCCCCGACCTCCTTGTCGGCTCGAGCCTGTAATGCCTTGTGATAGTGCGTGACAGCTTTGAAAGCGTGCTCCTTGATGCCGAGTACGGTGAACCAGTCCTTCTCGAAGATGCATCGAAGGTGGTCTCGAGACATCAGCTTCAACGCGTCGGCGTAGAGATCTTCGCATTGACTAGCAACTTGGGCTAGGAGACTGTCTTTCTTCCCATCCTTAGTCGCCTTGTGATAGAAACCCTCCTGGGCTTGGGCCAGGCAGATCGTGTACAGCACGGTCAGGGTGTCCGGATGCAGGTCCGCCGTGAGGCTCTCCTGAGTCACGGTCTGGGCGAAGGTCCTCAGGTGGTGGTAGACCCCGGCGGCCATTTGGAAGTACTTCGTTGAAGTCTTCAGACTCTCATCGTCCGAGATATCGGCTCCGTGACCAGCGGCGATCTGGCTCAGCATGGCACCGTAATTGAACAGAATGCAGCTCTTCTCGTAGCCTAAGCACATCAATGTCAGGCTGATCGAGGAGCCGAAGAAGCCTCCCTTGTTGAAGGCGTCTTTCCATTTGAAATGAACTTGAACGTCCTGCACAGGAATTTTGCTCTCGAGGGCACACAGTTGATCGTAATATGTGGCCATCGCATCGACAGAGGCCTGATGTTTGTCTAACGTTTTCCAGGTAGCACTTTTCCTCATCGAGTTCAGCCGTGTCAACGCAGCGGTGTACTCTTCTTTCTCATTCGATCCGGTGTACATACCGGAGAAGATGTTAGTCAGTGGCTTGATCAGGTCCACTTCAGAAGTCTTCTTCAGGGGGATCGCCAAATATCCGGCCATGGTTTCTCACGGTATCGTGGCGGTCCGCGGTTCGAACGATGATCCTGTCTCGCTGATGTTCTCAACCTGAGAGATATACTCCGCTCGGGAAGATTCGACGTCGAGAGTCGAGCCGGGGATTCACTGAATCATAGGATCACTGCACCGCAATCTCTCTGGCTCGGCGGTGGCGGCACCAGCAGGCAGTGATATGACATCAATGTTATGACTAAGCAGCAGCAGCAGCAGCAGCAGCTGATCTCTCCTCGGGCACGGAATCCGTCTCGCACAATGAGCGACTCTCCTCCGTATTTCCTGTAGCGTAGTACGCGTGCTCAGAACGCCCCTCTATCGAACGGTTGACAAGTACAAATCCAAATCAGTACAAAAAGTAAAAGAGGTGAAGCATACTACTGGAGCCGTAAAATCTGATGATGATGGGGGAGCGCAAAAATGATGGTGATGATGATCTTTGTTGGAAGCTTCGGTACAATCGAGCGGTGGTTTTCACGTTTTCCGATTTGTGTTTTCCGGGTACTCGGGCCATGCCTGGACAACCGGGGACCACGCTCGAATTGCGGTGGATCTCAATCGGATCACCGCGTATCTTGCTTATTGACGGTAAACGAGCGCCCCTGAGTCTTCCTTCCCTGCATCTCGCAGTCCTACCTGTTGCTTCATCCGAAAGGTTTCTTCTGAGTTATACATATGATGTAGGTATGCATCGGATATGAACAACCCTTGATATGGCTGAATTATTTCCGGCTTGGCGCTTGGCAGTCCACTCATATTATCCTCTGAGAACAGCTAGAAGAGGACATCCTCGGGCAGCGATGCCCGGAGTGGGGCATTGATCCCAGTCCCAAAACTGAGCACTGGGGTTGATCGTAGATTCTGGAAGACTCGAAAGCTTGATGCTTCTCGCGCCGTCGTCCGGATCGATTTGTCTTGACTTTCCGAACTTCAATATATAATGTTAAGCGCATTCGTTCCCGCACAGTCTACATAGACATCTATCATTTCTTTCGTGCCGATCCGTCTTCTCACGAAGCAGATGGTGGAAGTCGAGGGCAGCTCACCTATTCAGATTGTGGAGATATCAGCTGCTATTTCACCGAATAGAAATCGAAAGTTTCCCCACATTCCCCTCGGGGCAAGAATGTTCGCAAAAGCGAACTCGAGAGGAACACTGATCTCTGGGTTGGATACGAGCAGGACGCTGCTGCCTCGATGGAATGAAATTGACGCGCCAGCGCGCCGATTTTGAAATCAGGCCTCGAACGTTGAATCCTACCTCTTTAGGAGGTCGGTAGAACGCAACGCGCTTGGCTTGCCAAACAGCTTTCTCTCAGCTGTTTCTTCGACAGAGGAGTCTTGTTCGCAGTTTCCAGGGACACTGCCCGTGAAACTCGCAGGCAAACTGAGATTTCTCGGCAGGGTGATTTATTCGAAGCGAAAAATCGAAAATCTGCGGACTCGATCGAGTCGAGGACGCAGCTTGCTCCTGCGATTCGCTCAGCTATTCGGCCCGTACGAAACATTCTGCGTATACTTCACTCGGAACGAGGGAGTTCTGCGTCTTGAAGCTCCTTAGTACTGACGAGGAGCTCTGATGGAGACGAAGAAGAGCACATGCGAGGACCGTCTGAGATTACTATATCCAGCCGTCGATGAGTCCGAAACTCCGCTGCCACGCGCTTGGAGTCAAAAAGACAAATTCCTATTCATCGGCTTGTCACAGAACAATCTCCGCGTTCATTATAAAGGTAAAACTCCTATTTCCGACTGTATTTTTCTTCCGGCGAGTATTTCGTTCCGAGCTCTGTCACCCTCATAGAAGCGCCAGACGGGCTGGGACCCTCAGCTCCAGAGCCGACGAAACTCGGCGAGACTCTCTCTAGTCGGGGGTTCGTCAACGAAATCGAGATGTCTTCACAGGGCGGAATAGACCATCGTTCATCTTGCCGAAGAAGAACGCCTGGAAACCCCATCAGGGTTGAGGGGAACGAATGGGACCACGGGGCAGAGATTATATTTACGTAATCTCGGTAAATTAGATGACGACTTATTCCAGGCACGGGGAAGAACACCAATAAAGACGCTGCCAGTGTCAGAGCCACGCACCCGATACCCGCCGCGTGTGGCGTTTATTATTTCGAAGTGAAAATCGTTTCAAAGGGCCGAGATGGGTGAGTTGAATTACACAGGGCCGAGAAGTTGTTGTGGACCTGAGATTATATAAAAGTGTCCCCCAGACAATCCTCCTTAGTCTCCTATGCGGGCGGCTCATGTTTGGTTCGCGAAATGTTTGGTGCCCCCTAATGGAAATCGCTTTGGGAGGTCTTCGGCGGGTACCTTTCTTCGACTGATATTCCCGTCTCGGAAGCAGTCGAGAAGGTACCTGACGAGGAGGCCTCAAGGATATCCAAGGCGATTAAGACTCGTACTGATCTTGCAGATACATGGGTGTCGGGCTTTCCGCACAAGGAGTAGACATGAATAGACTGCCAGGGTGGGATAAGCAATCATTCGGTTACCACGGGGACGATGGACATTCCTTCAGCTCGTCAGGTTCGTGAAGCTTATCGGTATCCCGAAGCCAGGCGCACCAATATCGCGGCAAGAATCCCTTCTCGCGGCTTGCGAAACGCCTAGCTAACGAATTTCCATCATGATCTCAGGCACGGGTCAACCCTACGGGCCCACATTCACCACCGGAGACGTTATCGGCTGTGGAGTCAATCTGTTGGATAACAGCTGTTTTTATACAAAGAATGGTCAGAACCTTGGAATCGCCTTCCCGAACTTGCCGCCCAATCTGTACCCCACAGTCGGATTACAGACTCCGGGAGAGGTTGTAGACGCCAATTTCGGTCAACAGCCTTTCATGTTCGACATCGAATCGATGATTGAGGTAGGTTCAGAATCGAATTCTGTGTTCTCAGTAAGAGATCCATCTTTCGAGACGTTGCAAATACCATCTTCACGGTATCTGGGCATGGGAGCGGCTCGTCAAATATTTGACGATTGATATACGCACTTCAGGATCTGAGAAGCCGAACAAAGAGAACCATCGAACATTTCCCCGTTGACGACGCACAGGGCGAGTTCCAGGTAAGCTCACGGATGTTAGAAAACGATTCGAATAGCGAGGTCTCGAATGAGGTTCTCCCCCAAGTATCTCGCGGCAGCCGATTCTTCCGCTCGACGGACTCCGCGTCTGGCAATCTCTATCATTGCGGACCCTGTGTCTCATTTTCGGCCGCCCTTTTGACTCTGAGTTCGTTCTCCGGGACTCAATGTCCCTTATATAGGGACTACCTTTTCAAAATTGCATACCTCGACGACTCGATAGGAATCTTCACCCAATCGGGGTAGTAATTGTCGGTAGCGATGCGGACATGATCGATAAAGCTTTTCTCGTTTTCCAGTCAACCTTGCATAAGATTACGCTCACCTATTTATTGCATCATGGGTACTCGGAGACGGCGAACGCTTTCGCGAAGTCTACCGACCAATCTTTCACAGAATCTCTGGGCTCAGTCCATAATCGACAGCGTGAGTCGGGCTCGTCTTCTTACGAAATCGTCATGGAATCACGAAATTTGCTCTCACTGATAGGTACTTAAGATGTTGGAGAATTTTATAAGTTTCAAACGATTTCATCGCTCCGCAGGAATTCAACGATCTGTGCTCTCGGGCCGGATCGAAGAAGCCATCGAACTCACCCGTGAATTCTATCCGGGTTTTCTCGAAAGGAATAGGGAACTGCTCTTCGAGCTGAAATGCCGTCAATTCGTCGAGATGATCGTTCAATTAACGCCCGTCCGGAATAGCGTCAAAGGATCTCAGTCCAACGAGAGTAAGCCCATCCCTCCTCGCATGAAGATCCATGAACGTAAATCGTGGCAGGCGCATTATCGTCCCCGAGGTTCGATAGCGGTATCTCCGATCCCGCCGCTCGAAGCTCACCGAAAACCGACTAAGGCACGTGTTTATGCCCTTCAGATGACACGGAGTGTATGGAAGTCGAAGAGAGTCGAGAAGGAGGACTAATGACGAATAGTGATATCAACTTGCAAAGAATCGTCGATTTCGGAACCGAATTGTGCGAGTTCGAGAAGACTCTAAAAGATCCCGACGGCAAACTTAAACGGATCCGATTCGTGAGTGTCTGATATTTCCTGCGGAATTTCTCAGTTGATGATGATAATAATAACGATTATTATGAAGTTATCGGATACATCGCGCCATTCGAAGGAATCGACTCTTATTGACTGGAAGTGTTCCTTGCAGGAGGCGTGCGCTCTTCTCGCCTACCCTGATCCGAGTCAGAGCCCGATGTCTTATCTTTTATCCCCATCCGAGCGTGAGCCTGTCTGTGCGGCATTGAATAGCGCCGTCCTGGGTAAGCAGCTTGGCCAAGAATTCACCGCCTATCTTATGGTCTCTGTATATCGCGACTCCGAATCGGAGTCTTTGTCGCGAGATTCCCGTTCCGAGTATAGCAGTGAAGATTCCGTATACGACGAGAATATCTCTTGCAGAATCCCTGGGCCAGCCCTTGAGGCCGCCTCTGGAAGTCGCGCTGGCCCACTGTAAGCAGCTCGTGAAACTGATGGCTAAGCACGGCTTGGGAGCCTCTGCCTTCGCGGACTTGGATTCGATCCTGAACTAGCGATACTATTGCAATCATATTATATGACCAGCTCAAATGGAATACGCCGAGCTTCTGGGCTCAGCTGTCTGTATCTGGGGCTGCCATGATAGTCGGCGTAGGATTCGGGATCCACCAAGGGCAGCACGCTTCGAGGCCATTCTGATGCCTCTGAATGTCCTCAAGGACGGAAGCTCAATCAGTTTCCGGGGAGAGAATGAATTTAGATCACTCGATGCGAAGTCGACGGCCCCAATGACGGGCATAATAATAAAATAATTGAACCGGAGTATCTGTTTGGTGCTCCACGAAATATTCGGACCTATGGTAGTCGTGGTTCTACGGCTCTGTCCTTATGTCGACGGTGACCCAGATTCACTTGGACGTGGAGTCCATACCGATCGATCGAACGATCCTTAGCAGCAGGGCCTGGCTTGAAAACGTCGGAAGGACTTTTCAACTGACGTCCGAAGAACACTTCATTCGGAGACTTTCCCCGAAGAGTCGACGACGGCGCAAAGCTATATGCCTTGACAATGTAATCAATCGAGCGATGAGGTGGTCTCAGCATCCATGGAGTCCTTCACTGTCCGGACCATCTTCTCGGGTTGTCCGTTGCTTCGTGGCATCGCCGGAGCACAACGTAGGTGAACAATATTTGGCTCTGCGCAGAAACCCGCGAAAGCAGCGGAGGTTAACTGCGCACCGTTGTCGTTCTCCAGAGTGTCCGGGGGACCGAGAATCCGAAACAGCTGACGAAGGTATGCGATGAGAGCCTCCGATGTTAGAGAGGGCATCCACTGGGCATCGATGAACTCTGAATAATTATCGACAGCAACTATGAAAGCCTTGCCTTTCCGAGGCTCACCGAAGTCGAGATGCTCTCTAGACCATGGCTTTCCTGCCGACGGCCATAGACTAAGAGGTACTTTAATAGGAGCGGATGCCGTCTGGAGACAGCGATGACAAGCTTTAACACAACTTTCGATGTCTGTAATCATACCCGGCCAAAAGAAGTGCGAACGAGCGAGCGCTTTCATCATTCGAATACCGGGATGGGCCTTGTGCAGTTTCTCTAGGATGACTCCTTCAAAGGGAGCTGAGACCACAGCCCGCTCTCCAAACAGAACTACTCCTTTCGAATAGCACAATGCAGCGGCAAGAACCGCGGGAGGACGCGTCGTGGGATCTTCTTTGTCGGCCGATGACCAGCCGAAATCCAACCGAGTCACTACCACGGAGAGAATTGGATCTTCAGCGGTACGACGCGACGGATTGATGTCTCTCGCGCACTTTCCGAGTCCAACGAACCCAGCACTAGTTCCTGAAGATCAGCCTCGCAAGACGCATCAACGGAAGCGATGACTTCTTCCAGATCAGGATCTCTGGCACCGGCCCGCACCTCTTGCAAGAGGCGAGATAAGGCGTCGGCTTGACCGAAGTGGTCCGTACGAACATACTCGATGTCGAAGTCAAAGCCGACGAGAGCGCTGAAGTCTTGCAGCCGTCCGCACCGACAACACCTCCATACTAGAAGGACGGAACAGCAGGACTCAGGGCTGATGATCGGTCTGTAACGTGAAGTGCTGACCCCAAGGTATTTGGTGGTATTAACTCCGGGCGAGCGCCTGCTTGCCTCCCGTCCGAGGATCCGATCGGGATCCGATTTCGGTCTGCTATGTCGATTCCAGAGGTCTAGGAGCTCGAAAATGACAATTGACGAGCGGGAAAACCGAGTGTCGAGAACCCTTAGATTCCATTTTTGAATCGAGAAAGGGCGGCTCTGTCGCCTCGCCGACACCATGAGCTGCTCCGCATTCGGACAGAATTCTTAAGAAGCTCCGAGTTCACTCCTTCCGCCTACCGCGAATGGAGCGCGTGAATTCTCCGCTCAAGCTGAGTTGCACCATAAGATGCCATGGAAACGTTCCATCCAGCTCACTGAGTTTGACAAGATCCGCGACGAGCAACTAGCTCTTGTCAGAAAGAGAGCCATCCTCGTACGTCAAGTGTAAGAGAGCATTGACGCTGTCGACTCATTCAGTAGTAGCGATATCGTTGATCTCTTCGCAGTGGAATATGGTCCCGAGGTGGGTAGTGTGGTCGAAGCTCCTCGATGATAATCACGGAAACGAAGTTCTCTTACTACTTGAGCCCATCGAACCTCCCGTCTCATCGACTCCAGAGGCGAAAAGCGGTCGGATCGGGGCGGTACTCCTTATCTTCTATCGTTAAAGCGACGCTCGGTGCCGGAGTGCTCGATTTCCCGGAAGCGTACGACAGAGCGGGCGGTCTCTTGATCTCCATGGTCATACAAGCAGTATGTGAATCGATGATAGCAATTAACTTTCGTCTAATCCTGAATTGAATTTTGATCGTCGGCACGGAGTTTCTATTCGTCGAGAAATCTGAAACTCTCTCGATCTTCTTCACAGTTCCTGCTGTTTTCCGCGGTGGATATCGTTGCTAATCTTGGCTTTTTGTGCGAACAAGCATTCTTGTTCCACATATCAGGAGGTGATTGATGCCCTCCTTCCAATCCTTTGGATTGTCGAACCTTTCAAGCATACCCTCAATGCATAAGACTGCGGATTATCCGCCGTTTTTTTTATCGCGACGAAAATGGACGCGATGTTGTTGGACAGTTGGAGGAATCGAACTTCAAGGATGGGGCACTCTCAACTTCTTACCGTTGTCGGAGGAATGTCCCCCATTCTATGCGGGAAGTTCCGCCGATGGGAGACTATTTCAAACCAGCAGGCCTATTTTGTCGCGAAACCGTGCCGTAGAAACTCCGCTCCTCCGAGTCCGGGCATGAGGCTAAGTATGCTAGAGCACAACGTAGTCCTTTTGGGGAACTATTTCCAGCGGAGCAGCATGGAGTACAAAGTACAAGGGATACTACAACCTACTTCCGTGCGTAGGCCCGATAGGAAAGACTTCCAGGCGGCGGGGACGCTGAAGGCACCTAGACCTGCAAAGGCAAGACAGGCGAGACGATGAACATGGGGTTGTTGAGAGCTTCGAGATCACAGAAGTGACTCCTCCAGTACTGTCTCGGATGGAGGCCTTAGGTCTCACGGACAGTATTATTGAGATAGGTTTGCACAGATTTCGAGTTGGAATTAGGGGGTCAGCCCCAGACTGAGATACCGTGAGAGAGCGAGCCACAGATCAGAGATCCGAAAACTTGACCGCGGAGAAGGCATGGGAGCCAAAGTGTCACGGCTAGATCGAGGCCACACAAGGTCAGCCCAAGGGGCGAGTCCGGTCACGTAGAACGCTTGAATGATTGCTTGATCGACGAGCGAGTTCCCGATAATTATGGCGATATTGTCATACAGAAGGTGGAGGGAAGGCTTGAGGACTGATCTTCGAAGGATCCCGAGAAAGAGGGGAAGAGGAGACCATACCGTTTCAAAGAGTTGGGTTCGACAAAAATCATGTAGGAGCCCAAGAGGGCGAGGGAATGATCCCTCATTCCGATATGCTCGGTTTCGCAAAATAAACATGGTTCCAGCAATCAAATGCATTCGCAATGTTGCGGATCGATCCGTATGACGACCGATTCCGGGGTGTACTGAGGATGGCGACTTTTTGGCGATGCATACTAATTTTCGCCGTCCGAGCCTACGGGCGGAGGGAAGCTAGAATTCCTCTAAGGAAGATCCGGCATGATTTCAACTACTCTCATGTTTTCATTGGGCTCAGAAGCTGCTGACCGCTTTCTCGAACAAAGCTTCCGGATCCCGCCTTCCAAGCGCATGTATGGCTGTACTCCGTTCCAGCCATTGACTCGACTCATTCCGTCAAACTGTGGCGTCTCCGAAAAGTATAGGTATCCACCATCCGTCGATGTCAATGATCATGTCATCAACGATATAATAATGCAATCTATACATCCAGAAGCAGAGGCCTGTTGCCCCCGTCAACGAGCCTCCACGGCTATCTGCCGTAGTGTTATCGATGGACCTTTACATCTGTGGCATCTCATCGCAACTCGAGCTGTCGCGAACCGGACGCGAGCAACCAAGCTCGTCTTAGAGAAATCGCACCCGTTCCGACGGAGAAGCACACCGATACCGAGAACGAGCGCTTCTCCACAATATTCTTAAGTTCACTCGGGAGTGGCCTATAAAACAGGCCTCTCCGCATTAGAGATGGCTCACGGAGCTTTCAGCAGACGATGAATCTTAGAATGAAGATTTTTCGGCTGGAGAGGGGGAATGGCAGGTTGGGAGGCGATTTCATCAGATATTTCCCATTCGCCGCCCCGCGTCACGAGCCATAAGAGGATGAGGTGAAGGCCGAGATCTTGAGGGGCACTAAATGATTCGGCACCTAACTGGAGCGTCCAACCTCGAGTTTCCTGGTGCTCCGCCGCTGAGATATATTAATAGTGATGAGCCTGGCTATGAATGACTTGACGAAGAGTCGCATTTATTGGCTTCAGCACATTGAGGTTCAGCGTTTGCTATACTTTCAATGGAATTACAAGCATATACTGAGTTCTGAATAAAAAATATATGTTATGAAAAAAATATGTGATGGATTCCGTCTGTCTGAGAGCCTATTTGAGCACTACCGTTGCCCTACAGCCCTTGAGAAGAGGAGCCTTCGCGGGGATCGACGCAGAGTCGTTTTCATAGTTTCAAGGAGAGCCTAGCGGGAGAAAGTTCGACCTTGAGATTCAAGAATCACAAGCGTCCAAAGAATCTCGCCGGAAACGTACTGAAGAATCAGAAGCTTCAGAGATCATCCGGGGACTTCTAAGGCTCCCATCGGTATCAGTTGTTGGAAGCGCCAGCCTTCGCTCATCATTGAGATCATTCGAGTCACCTCATCCTTGTGAAATTGCGAAACACGGTAGACATGCCGCTTCTCTGGACGATTTCACTCGGAGATCGTCGTATCTCAGGCTTCCCGAGTTAGCATCGGCTCAGGATTATTCACCGTGTCTAGCTCAGCGACATTGGAGAAGCTAGTTTCTCCCGAAACGCCTGCGAACGACAGGAACGATGAGTACTCGAGCTCGAGAGGGAACATTTCCTCCCTCAGGCGCTCAATGAGGCTGATGGACTCACCTTGTTGTGCGAGGTTTTAGTCCATGATCGACCCGAGAAGGAAAAAGTTCAAAAGTTGAACGAATGATGTTGGATCGCGATCTATTATGTACGCTTCACGCCCTGGTATCATCCTGGAAATTCAGAGCTCTCAGCCTTAGAATCAGATCGGACGAACATTCCAAGAGGGTAAGCTTAAGATAGAAGCAAAATGATCATCGGACGGATTGGAACCAGGAATGGCGCGATTGAGAAGACAGAGTCCTGCACCGCCTTGCGGCCGCCGGGGCTGTTCGATTGGTGGCGCTATCCTGGTAGACCCCATAGATAAGGGTTGATTACACTCACAATTCACAATGTACTCTTGTATGTGTGATGTAGTAACTCTTGGTCGTCCTGACAAATTGTATACGGAAAGGAGCTCTTTTCTCGCGCCACGGTAGCTTTCGTGGTGAAGAAGTGTTGGAATATCCCTTCGAAAGGCGCCCTTTTCTTACTGTGCGTTTCGGGATAGTGGGACGGGCCCCAGAGAGTCTGAAAGTTACAATCGACTCTTCGAGTCTTGAGATGCTTCAGGTGCATCGACGAGTCTCATGCTGGCGGCTCTAAATCTGACATCTTGCGTGGATCCTAGAGGGTATCGTGAGCTAACGGACGTTCCACGACCCTGATAGGAAAATTAAGATAGACGCAGCTGAGGCTAAGCACTGCCGACCGACAGATCGCCCCCAAGGGCGTACCCCGATTTTTTTTGGGGGGGGAAAACCGAGGGCCAGATCGACTTTGGAGGAGGCCAAGGGCCCGAAATGGCGACCCGTTCCTATGCTTCACCATCGCGAAGAAGAATACCGGGTACCCCCCTGGGTACGCTACTGATCGCCCCCCCTCGAGATCTTTTCCATCAACGTCAGGGAATGATTTCGGCAGAGAGAACTTCGCGTCGACTGAAATTCTTGTTGTCAATCGTTGTTGAAGCATCATGTATCATCATGTATCATCATGTATCATCATCATCATGTATCATCCACATGAATCAAGGAACCGAAAATTACCGGAGCATTATCCATAGAGGGCAGAGCTCTCAAATAAATCAAGCCCTCGGGTCCCTTATTCCGAGGATTCTCGGAGTGATATTCACAGAGCACGGAGCCACAGGTCAGGGCGCCCTTGGGAATTATCAACTCCGAGGAGCCCCGGGATAATACACCCAAATTCGTCGAGACAAGACATTCTTGACTCAGCCGTCGATTTGAGCCGAGACGATGGCCAGAAAGAGCTTGATTCGAAAAGCTAGCCTCGAATTGTTCTGAGACATCATCCGTTCCTGCAGCTTGGCCCATCCGCATGTGACGACGCGCTCGACTCTTTCGAGCGATCGCGACTCGGTGTTCTCTCGGATTCCATATGATCGACCGAGCGAGAAATACCTCTAACGTGCACCTCTAAGTGTAATACACAATTTGCATCGAGATCGGTGAGGTATGAGCAGCCGCTATGCCAAGATACTAACGAGAGCTCGCACCCTGTGGAGCGCCTAATTTTCTCGAAGAGATTCATGTCGACCTATCGGGTTCACTTTCAATTTCGAAGCTCATGGGTGGTGCACTCCAAATAATAGGATGATTGTGGGATAATATATATCCTCGAGTTAAAGGATAATATCTAATACCATCCATGATTCACAGGACTCACTTGCGCATCAGCTCTGCTCGCCTTCTCCTCCGATCCTGCCGATCTCGAACACGACTGCTTGAGGCTATAGGTCAGGGATGTCGAAGAGGTGGCCCGCGGGCCACTAGTGGCCCACGAAGAGTTTTTTCGTGGCCCGCGGCCGATCCTCGGGAATTCCATAGGATAATATCCTTGTAATTTTCGAATCGCGAATAGAGCGAGTCGACTCTGAGAAATCGAGAATCGATTGTGACCCATCATGCATATACATATGTGTTTCCCTCTAGCTTTCCGCTCTCCGCTCAAACAACGTCAATTAAGAATAATGTCGAAAAAATCTTTGGATGTGGCCCGCCGGCTTCTCCCAGTGCTCCGTCGTGGCCCGTCGAAGGTTTGACTTTGACACCCCTGCTATAGGTACTGGTGGACTGGGAAAACACGAGAATTAGAACCGAGCCGCTTCTTCCCGTCCTTAATTCATGATAGATTCAAGATCTTATTGTTTGGTTCCAACACGGAATGCGACTGACCATGGCGACTCGGCCGCGAGATTCTGCGCTTGGCCGAGAGACTGAGCGAAGCAAACGACATGCGACAAAATCTCCGTTTCTGAAGGAAAACTAGTCACGGATATCCGCTCCGTTCGCTCTCCACGCGATTCCGTGGGGGTTGTCCTCACGAGCACCAACAACGCGCCTCTTATCACATGAAAATCCGGTTCCGCCGTAAAATGGGCAGCTCGTGCAGCGCCTCATCAGGATTGATCCGAATGATATGCAGTCCCTCGGCTTCAGAGGAATCTGCAAGGTCCATGAGCATCTCTAGTAATCCGCAGCTCATGTTCAAAATTGAAATCTGCCGCGTGCTGCTTCGGGCTGTTCGCATTTCTTCCTCATGGATAGGCGTCATTCATGCACACCACTGGAGGCGGGTCGCGGAGTGCGGCAGATTATTTGGTAACTCTTGATCCTTATTAACACGCGAAAGGCAAGCACGTTGGTCGGATCCGCTGCTTGCGGGTCGACGAATTATAGACAACGCACCACGACCCATGACTGAGATATTTTCAACTGGTCGACTCCGTTCAGTCGGGTCGGAGAAAGGCTCGGCTCCCCACGCGATGATGATTTGCTTCCGCTCTTCTAAACATGAACGGACAAATGTCTACGAAGAATTTTCTCACGAGTTCTCAAAGCACTTACGCAGAACCGCGGAAACGGTGATGACGATGAGTGAGCACGCGCAACCAACTCCGCATTTGCAAATCGAGTCCTTCTCGGGAAAAAAATATTTTAGTTCGATTAACTGCGATTCCTAATGAGCAGGGAGCCGTTCCTTCCAACGTCAAGTATCGATTCGAAACTTCCACTGTTCCCGGTCCAATTTGAGCCTACCACTAAGCTGATTGCCGCGTTCAAATACGATCCTGAGTTGACTGCGTCGCTAACCCTGTTGCCATTGGCGAGACCAGCGGACACAACCTCTCCCTTGACGAAGCCACGCGGAGACACCCCATGCCGGCGATCGAACTGACATGGTTTCGGACGAGCGTCGTTGGCAGGAACGGGTATGAGCCGCGCACACTTTGCGACTAGCCAGCATGCGTATCTCAGCCCGAGAGTATCGAGTCGGAACGATCGGTCGACACTCACGCCGATTCCCGAGTTACGACGACGACATCTTCCGGAGACATAATATCAGCAGTCCCCGCGCGATGAATGTGGCAGGAGAGTATCATTAATCATCGAGAAAAAGCTTGCAAAGATGGAACGGGCGCTGTGTTTAAGGAGGCTCTGAGGCCGCGAATGAGGATGCCTATCTGGAGTTTATCATCGAGATTAGCGATGTTACGATCTCCGAACGGTCAAGCACGGCATCGTCGGAGTCGGAGATCACCGCCCGGGCTCTCTACTCCTGAAATTCAGCTGACTGAGGGTCATTGCTCGCAGCGGAACCGAGCGAAGGGCGAAATCGATTCCATATCCCCTCGCAACAGGCAGTTTCCGAACATTCCGTCCATTCCATTACATCGTCCATTATAATTCTGTGAGTGAGTGCTCCATGAGCTCTGAATCTCAATCGGCTCGTGGAAGTAATCCATTGGCAAATCGACAAAGCGGCCGATTCGGACCCAATATTCCCGGGAGAGGAAGTTCAATAATCGAATCGGTTGGAGTTTTATCCAAAACTCCTCGTGGCGATTATGGATGCTGGGTGCGAGAAGACTCTCATCGATTTCGGTCCCTGGAAAGATAAGCAGTCGTGTCGATGCGCCTCCATCATGCTGGCGGGGATCATGTCATCAGCATCGTGTGTCGACTCGTCTGCTACAACTGAGACCTGCTCGGGGATCCGGATCGGGATTTCTCTCGATTTACTGATTCCGCGCGACCTGCGGTGTTGATCAGGAGCTCCCAAAGAAGCGATTCCACCTGAAGGTCATCTGGTCTCGACGAGGGGTCGATCGATTCATTCTTCTGATCGAAAATTACCTTCTGACTGACTACAAGCCTTGAGCGCTACTGCACTGTCCAGCAGCCGGAGAGATGATTACAAGACGACGATACTTTTTAATAAGCTGCCCCTAGGCATGTAATGGAAATTCAATTTTGGTATGACCGTTGGATACCACGGATTCTCAAGATGGTGAGCTTCACTCCGAGAGGAGTTTCGACTATAGCGTACCCGCGATGCATTCGAAGGGCTCTCCATGGAATATGACCTGATTCAATGAGACGGTTCCAAAGAGTTATTGGTCAAAGCAGGGACGTTTTCATTCGTTCGAATCAGGCATTGAATCCGCAGCTCAGAGCGCTCTCGGTTGCAGTCAGTCACTTGAGAGTGATGAGGATTCAGGATTGGGCTATCGGCCACTCAGGATCGGATTATTGGATTTTCGGGAGTGGGTGGGAATTCCGTTCTCTGAGTGAGTCATTTGCATTCGTTTGAGTTCTCGTCTGTCTTGCACAACCTCCAGCAGTATCGGTCGGCTCGGAAACATTGGGCTAGTAGTTTCCTGTGGGTGGAGAACGTTTGAAGCAGCCATAACTTGGAAGTTCGACCACTGGGCTATGCCCGGTCGAAACGGTTCCTCCGCCAATTCTTCTATCTACGGATGATATCAATACTCGCCATTCCATCAGATAGGATCATTTGGAGTTTCCTGCCTCGCGTTCCACTCCCAGGTGATCGCGGGATGAAATCCCCAATTTTTGTGATACCTATCCCCGTGGAAAAAGAGCGGCGTAAAAGAGCGGTTTTCGAGCACTCGAATGTTGACGATAGGCAGTTTCGAGAGACGCGGATCTCAGAAGCGAGAAGCAACAGGAGACGGGCGGTCTCACCCTGCTAGAACAAAAACAATCTAGACTGATTCCATGTTTCCGAGGATAGCGGTGAAAATCAAGGCCAATCATTTCGGCTTTCCTTGCCCGATAACGCTCTGGCGTCATTCGATCTTCGTTTCCAGTTACGTCGTGCACACGTCCGTTGACTGCCTGGTGACCGGGAAGGCAGGCGGTTGTGGCGGTGAAGCACGAGGCGGAGCCGACCACTATGGGTGTTGATGACATGGATCCGGGCTTGCGGCAGCTCTACCTGCAGAAGCCCTACGTCAAAACGACGAAGAAAGCATCGTTGCTGGCAACGATCTTCGAGGAGCCCGTGCAGAAAACCAAGTCTAAGGAGCCACAACTGATGGCAGCTCGCGGTTTCAAGAGGTATGCGAACATCTTCCCTGTCTCGAGGGCACGCAGAGCTCAGTGTCGGCCTGTCTCTCCTGCCTGTTTTTTCGGAGGCGACTCCTTTAGCTTGCCGCGGCACATGAAGATGGAAAGATCACCGGAGAATGACTTTGGAGCCATGACGATCAAAGCTTCGTTTCTTTCTTCCCAGGTACCTCGACTTCGAGTCTCAGAGTGAGTTCGCGAAGCGTCGCAGGAAACGTGAGCAGAAAGCCATGACGCACCAAATGCAGAAACAACGGGAACAGATGGCTCAAGCGGAACCTGAGACTCAGGTCAGTACGCCTCAGTATTTCTGGAATCTCTTCGACTCGAAGTCGAACTCTGTAATAAGAGATGGGGCGTGATTAGCACATTAGGTGAACCGTTTTTTCCTCAACGCAGGTGAATAATTGTGGGCGGCCGAAGAGACGCGCAGCTTCGATCTCCGAGGCAGCAACAAAAGTGATGACATTCTTCGACTCCCCACCAAAGCCAATCAGCAGGGAGGCTTTCGAGCTGAGTTTCGCGTCGGTTTCCAGCAAAAAAAATTCGGCGACCAAAGACAACATCACGAATGATGACTCCCTCGCTTTCACCAGCAGCAGTGGTAATGCTGGAAAAGATAAAATCCTCAAGTCAAGAAGACGCATCGCGAAACCCTCTCGAATCTCCAGAGAGGTTCGAGATGTCGTGGCCGAGATCGTCGAGGTTGCCGCCGTCGTCGACGACCTCGTGGTTGTCGCTTCGGGCAGCAGCTGGTACACCGGAGTCGAGAAATTCGACGACCGAGGTCACTCAAATCTTTCCGACAAAGGCGTCGACGACAACGGTCAAGCCGTTCATTAAACTGTGATGGGTGTCGAACTGCATGTTTGGAAAATCCGAGCCCAGTAGAAGTCGCGTGATGAAAGAACAAACTGCCTCGTTCGAGCTCGATTCTGTTGTCTACGATCAGATGTTCCCACGATCAGGGTCAATCGTTTCCCATCACTGGCATTTTTCGGAACCATCCAATAAGCTGAGAAGCAATGTATACTCCGTATTTGTACAGTTAAGCTGTCTGGGGCCCTCGTGTGTAAAATGAAGTATTTTTGTATATTGTGCTTGCTCTGCTTCTCGAGTCAAGACTTCATCCGAAAGCAGAGATGTCTTCCCAGGCTAAGAAACATGAGCGGGAACACTGGAAGCCCCGATCCTAGTGAGTTGTGATTCCTACCGAGAACCCGCAAAACGTCCTCAAAAGAAAATGTCAAGACCTGTGGACTTCTCAGTGGAACATCCATCGGATTGATAGCGCAGATGAAGTCGTGGGGCATTCTCACCTTAGTGGAATCCCAGCTAGATCACGAGTGTACAACATTGGTCAAATGCAAACACACACCTATTACCATTGCGACAAATGATGTAAGATGCTAGTGGCGGAACTCAAAATAATGTGAACAAATTGTAAATGAATATCAACTTTGGTAAGAAGAAAAAACCCACAACACCTTGATCGAATCCTCGATGGAAAGGAAGCTAAATAAAGCAACGTGAATAATGATCTGATTCCCTATTCCTGGATCAGAGGACATTTGAGTCATTGGTGGTCCGATCGTGATCGAGAAAAGCATTCTGGAACAGGTCGTTATATGTACCCCGCAGGTGCCCGGAGGTACACAATACCGGTGTCCCGGAGCAAACGAGCACCGAGAGCTCCTGATGTTAATCGAAGCGCTCCGCGCCTAACTCGGAGTGTTGTAGATTTGTTCGAACATGGGGAGACGTCATCAATGATCAAAACGATGTCCCCTGAATCTAATGAGAACAGCTTTGATATGAGTGATCGGTAACCTTGCCGAGCTACCGGAGCCAGAATGTCAGGAGAGGGACCGCCCGATCACGCTGATGATTCAAGCGCAGATCATCAACACCATTGCCTAGGCTATTCCGCCTTTGCCTTCAACTCTTCCCGCGCCCCCCTTCCCTGTGCGCTTTCTCCCGGAGTGTAATCCAGCTAGTGAAGCGGTCTTGGGCATACATTAATCCAAGCGTGCGGGGGTTTGTCCGTCAATTTCATGTGCACGCAGAGTGAATTTCGCATCCATCACTCGCCGGAGAGCGCGTTCGAAGACGGGACCTGTCGCGAAATTCGTTCATTCGTTCCAAGCAAAGCCCAGTTCACTTTTGCCTCGTCGTCGCGCTGCAGCATTAACCGAGCGATCTTTCAACATAAGGCGTTGTTCCTACAGCGTCATATATTTTTCTCTGTCAGAATCGCATAAAGATGCCTCCCAAGGGGAAGAGTAAGTGACTCACCTCCTAAACTTGTATGATTTGCCATGTAAATCCCTCTCAGGATCCCCAACCGCATACCTAATACACATGCATAAATCGATCGAGCGCTATTGCAAAGTGAGGGTCGCTCCCCATTGTCAATAACCTTTAATACAGCACAGCCGATTCAGTCGAGATCGAATCGAAGCAGTCAGATCGATTGTTACTCGCGACACTCCCGACGGCATCGACTTTCCTATTTTGCGAAAGGGCCGCAATGAAAGGGATTCGGAGTATTATCGGGGTTTACCGCTCGTCGAGGACCCTTCCGACTCGGGCGGCGACTCTCGGTGAATGAGTGCGACGCCTGACACCTGTGAAGTACCGATAGTCTTCATGTGATTTTCTTGAACTCGCAGGTAAAAACTACAAGGGTCGCTCCCGTCATTTCACTTCGCCCGAAGAGGTTGAAGCGCAACAGGCGAAGGAAGAGAAGGAGAGAGCCTGGAGGGAACGGAAAAATGTAGCAGATGACGACGAGGATGAGAACTCTGAAGATGACAGCGAGGAGGAGTGAGTTCGCTCCCCATGTGTTTCTCATCCCATCAGGCCATCCTAGTCATGCTCGTGCAGCCCTTATTTTTTTCGTTCCCGTTTGTTTCACCAACATAGACTGACGGGTGGTCGAGTGGTTAGCGCGTTTGTCACTACTCGTGCAAACGTGCATAGCCGCAACGACGGCGCTCGCGCGGGAGGCGGTGAGGCTTCGATCCCTGCTGCCGGAAAAATATTCCTTACGGAAACGCAGGTACTCGGCCTTGATCCTCCTGGGTACATTTGCTCTATGGATCCGTCATCGGAAGCAATGTGAATAACAGTACCCGGGACGTTAAACCTTGGCTGTGTGGATCAGCCCGAAAAAGTTTTTTGTTTCACCAACATGATCACTTGTTGCCTTTCGACTTGGCTCAAACGGTTCGGTTGAGCACGTGCGACTTTTACAGATCTTCAGAAGAATCGTCTGGAGAAGAAGAAGGAGAAGCGGCCGAGGAGAAAAAGAAGGGTGTCGAGGGCTTGATCGAAATTGAGAACCCCAACCGAGCAGTGACGAAGCCGAAGAAAACTACTGAAGCTCTAGATACGGAACAAGCCCCTGAACTCAGCCGGAGAGAACGCGAAGAAATTCAGAAACAGAAAGCTCGAGCCCACTACGAGAAGATGCACGCGGCAGGTCGGACCGATCAGGTCAGTGTGATCATTTTCTCTTCATAGAGCTCCAATATATGAAGCGTACTCCTAGATTTCGTCCGTTTAGTCTTCGCTTCTGCTCGTTTGCTACTCTTTCTGAGGGATCACATGGACTTGCAGGCCCGCGCGGATCTCGCTCGGTTAGCGATCGTTCGCAAGCAACGTGAGGAACAGGCCCGGAAGAAGGCTGAAGAGAAACGACTTGCCGAGGAGAAGCTCGCGGCCGCCAAGAAGTAACAACCTTTGTCGGCTAGATTAGCGAAAGTCAAACGGGCACACCATATGCCATCGAGGTAGGCTATCCTGCGATGGATAGTGAACTCTCCGTTTTGTGGATGGGAGCTTATGTTTGCGCTTGTGTTTCCGAGTCCGCCGATTTGATTTGACGCGAGTCGGCAGCAATTGTTCTGATTGGGGAGAATGTCGACCAAATGATTTCGGTTGGGTGTATATGCTGTGAGCTGTTTTGTTCGCTGTCGCAGCTCTTCGCCATGTATCGTTACGGCCTATAGCGTCAGAGCTGCGATGCGAACGACGAGGGAACGACTAAACAGAAAGTTAACCGATGAGTACCGGCGTGTTTGAGAGACCGCATTTATGTACACTTCGTAAAGCAGGGCGAGGGGCCGCGCTGGTCTTGGTGAATAAAGGTCTCTGAGACAACTTTTCGGACCGTGTGTATTGTGCTCACTGGAGAAGTGGCGCCGTCCTCCGGGTCCTAGCCCAATTACCCGAGGCTGCGAGGCGAAGACACCGGGGGCCCCTTCATTCCCAAGCCTGGATCAGGAGCACCCTACGCTCCTGGCATCGTTTGATCCACGAGGGATCGGTGACATGCATAAGCAGTCTCGGCCAAAAGTATCGAATTTCAATCGTCGATCTCATGAGATTTCGTTGATCGCATACCGCTGTAGAGCAGATGGCTCATCTTTCTATACTTTCCGTGGACTGAGGAACTTCGCTCTAATCGCGGCTCCTGGGACGCTCCGCCTGCCGATGACCCCCTTGCCGGATTCGATCGGGATCCTTGAAAAAGGTTTCCAATGACGATGCCATCGCGTATCCCTGGGCGACCCCGATCCTCGATCTCCAGCGACCCAGCGCGAAGAACTATGGAGTGCGATCGTTGGAGGAAGCTCTCCAAGCGTCTCTCAGGCTTCTCCTCAAACAAGCATTGTTTCTGTAACATTTACCATAATGTCTAGGTCGAGATCCTCCTCCCAAACCCGGCGCGTCATTTTTCGAGATTTTGCCCTCTCCCAGCTTCGGATGAACGCATACGAGATTGTTTTGTTCTCCTCCTCCGATCTAAAATGGCGATGCGCTGTCCGCAGTGCAGTGGAGTTACATTACGGACAGTTTCGGTGCTCGATCCTGTGATCGAAACGATCATGAGCCGGATCATCGAGATGTGCTACGCTTATCGATGAATTGTCGGAAACGACGCTTGCATTCGGCTCACCGAGGGTAGCGACCGGATAACATCCCGCGGTTCAGGCGGTCCGTCCCCCCTCGAAGGTCTCTCCTGCGAGCAGATGAGCTGAACTTGACCACATTTCAAAATGTCCAAGTTCTCGAGATCCTGCTTGAACTGCTGTCGGCGAGTTCTCGATTACCGGCTCAACCCACAGATGTCACTGGGCCCTGATCAGTGGTACCGTCGGAATGGTTTTTCGCTGCCGCTGCACCCGTTCCAGCTAGCGGCCTGGTTCATGTTGGGAATCTTCCTCTTCCTCTACTATACGGCTCTGATCCCCAACGTATCGAGCTCGTGTGCCCAACGAATTCTCATCATCGTCATGACGGTAGGCGTATCCATTCATATCCTGTCGCACGTTGTCTGTATGGCGATCAATCCCGCCGACTACAGTGTCCTCGCGAAAAACTTCCAAGGCCGTAGGCCGTTTGACAGAAGCAAGCACAAACATGTGATAGAGAACCAGTACTGCTATATCTGCGAAACGAGGGTCGGTGCTAAGAGCAAGCACTGTTCGGCGTGCAACAAGTGCATCGGAGAATTCGATCATCACTGCAAATGGCTCAACAATTGCGTCGGAGTCCGTAATTACCGCTGGTTCTTGCTCTGTGTTATATCGGCGTTGTTCTGCTCGCTTCTCATCGTAGGTCTGAGCGGCCGTCTATTCTTCGAGCACAGCATCTCGGTCACGGACCTGAAACGTGCCGCTATCGAGCAGAACAACTGCGAGCCGTTCGTTCAGCATTCCAACTGTACACTCTCATCGGTGCCGGTGATCCATCGCTTCTTCGCGAGCTCCCGCATCGACTACAAGCTCTACGTTTTCATTCTTCTGACAACAATCATTCTGTCGTTAGCAGCTACGTTACTTCTCACACATCTGCTGTTTTTCCACATTTTCCTCTGGAAGAAGAAAATGTCTACCTACGAATACATCGTCTCTAAACGGGATACGCTGCGTCATCAGCAGGATCAACTCGGCTACACCGAGAGAACCGTGTGTTGTTGCTTTAAACGCAAGCAGAAAATCAATCAGATCCGCCCATCTTCGTTGGCGAACGTTGAGGACACTATACGACCCGACAACGCCAACGTCCAGCAGAACTCTTCCCAACAAGAAGCGACCCAAGCGCCCCAACAATTCGACATGGAGAGAATCGAGAAGGAGAACCTGGCGCGCAAAGCCAGCTCTAGCCATTCGCAAGTGTCCCGCATGGCCAGCAATAAATCTCATACATCGTCGGTGATCACGCAAGATGACCTGAAGCGCAAAGGATCTTTCGCGGCCGGCGATGTCTATATCGGAACCCCGACCGCCGAAGTGATGGTCGCCGATGAGATCAGTCGGAGGAGCGCGTCGCTCCATCGGCAAGAGTCTCTGCAACGACAAGACTCGCTGCAGCGACAGGAATCTCTACCTCAGGATCCGCCCGAGGTCGGATCGGATAGACCCGGCTCGTTGGAAGGAAGTCGCTCGGGGCGTTCAATATCTCAGTTGTCGCTCAACAAAAATCAATATCCCTCTAGTGAAAGCGTCCATCTACCTATAGAGGCAGACGTCGTCATTTGTCAGGGCGACAGCACGCACGAGGCCCTGAGCAAAGGGCATAGCATGATGAATCTTTTGCCCCAGAATTCCGCCGATTCCGCTTGCAACGCCGATGAGGAAGAGCTGAACGCTCCGTCCGAGGACGCTGAAAATAGACCTAAGAGGCGTAACCACGATTCAGGTTATTCAGAGAAGACCAAGCGCAGCCCTAAATCCGAAGAGATCGACGAACATGAAAAGAAAGTCGACCCGCTCATGCTGAAAGCCATGGAGCGAGCCATGATGCGACCGCAAACGCTGCCCGTGACAGTCTCACCTCTGATAGGCAATAATCTGAGTCCCGTGAACGCGTGAGCTTTCCGAAACCAAAAAGGAAAATCGCTATTTTCACAGCAGTGAGCAATCTCAAAAGGAGAATCGTTTGGCATTTGATTTGGAACGACTTTGATTCATCGCAGCTAATACTGTAAAAAGAACTTGTGATTTGGCGAATACCCGTCGACTAGAGATACGAGCGCGATTGGGGAAAACGATTCAAATCGAAGGGTTCGTGGCCTCATCTCCCGAGGAAACACCGAATTGACGGGGGTGACTGTAAAGGGGAGATTCCGTTCTCCCCCGAGCGCCTCAAGACCTCTGAAAGCAATCTCGACCCCTGGTCAGTATTCGACGATACTCATCCTTTTCTAAGGAACCCCGATAGCGAGTTTTTTCGCGAGAGCGTATGATGTGCACAATGTAGTACCGGAATTCCTCGACTATCTACTCACTACGATTTAGTTTTGCGATACCCCGGCTTATGAAATCCGTCGCCGCTCCCCACGAGCCTAGAGATCGAAGAGCGACTCATATTCTGAGCTTGCCCTACTGCGTGCATGAACTCTAGCGTGACTTCAAATCGGTCTGGGGGAATTCCAATCGGGCTGCAGGAAGAAACTGATGTGCTTAATCTCGACTGATCGCCCTTGAGGTACACGGAAATTGCTGCTTAAAAGTCGGAGATTGTCGATTCAACAGCCCTAGCGCCCCCTCCCGCGATGCTTCAACTCTGAGAGGAAACATTCGACCGTGATTCTAGTCCATGTTCATTCGGGCGGATGGATTCTCCGTGATCCGTCGTAGCAGACCGAACCGCGATCCTTCTTCGTTTGTTCAGATCGACGCCGTTTGAGGTATAAAATGAGAAACGATCCGCATTGTGGGCTTGCAGGACTGATTTCTCCTGTGAGGGGGATTAGATGATAATCACAGCTGTTCCAGGCGGAGCCCACGAGAAAACGCGAGAGGATTCCTTTCCATTGCACAAAATGCCCAAGCGCTTCCTCGGTTCGCAATTCCAAAGCTTCTCGCCTGTTTTTCGGTTGTTCTGAAGCTTAATTCCGCGTAGCGATCAGTGATAAACTCTGTCGTCACCAACTTTGAGGAGCATACTGGCTCCCTAGACTCCTCCTTGGATGACTCGCAATATTCAGTGCAAACAGTCGATGTTCTCGACGAGATCGATTTAATACTTGGAGCGGTTGTCGTTGTCCTTCTTTCGTTGATCCCATTTGTACGCAGAAACCATGGTCGAGAAATAGAAAGCCTCCGATGCAAAACAACAGGGAGATTCCGGGGCTCTCAAAAACTGCCGAATCATTTTTCAGAGTCACATAAAGAATTGGAATCCCTGTCGCCGCGGAGAGGCGGCTTTTCCGATTGTGTGCAGATCCGCACTGTATTGTTCTTTAATGTCTTATTGATTCCCTCGGGTTCGCGACACAACCATTGACGACCTCGCGAATATCTAGAGTCGCTGTCAGTGCTAACTCGTCTAGGCAGCAGACCTTGATTGTATAAAATGATCAGTGCATACAATTGTAAATAAACTTAATCCATGATCATCCATAAATTTTCGTCTTCCATCCCGCGATTTCTGGCGCCGATGGTGCGGTCCTGGGAGCCACAGCGCATTCCTCTAATGATGATTCGTCGATGGTCCTCACTACCAAGCTTTCCGCGCGCCCACGGCGATAACAAAACGCCTGTCAGAACTTGTTCTGCGGCTTGAGTCTGGTCCTGGCCGATCCGACGATGCACTAGAAACATACTGACCCAAAACTGCATCGATCCGCGAGTATTATGGACGCGACCTCGTTGGACTACACCGAATCATAGCGGACGCAGGCTTTTCCGTCCTGAGCATAGCTTGGCAAACTCTATTCTCGAGAAGCGAAAGATAACATTAGAGCGCGACCTGTTCTGCTTCCCAGAATGTCTGGGCCGCGCCGTGAGCAACCCGTACGACTGTTGTTAGAGACGGATGTGGGGATTTCCCGCCGTCGTTGAGAGGGAACATCGCATGACTACGATTTGCCGTTGACGTGATGAATCAAGGGATTAACTTCAGTGGCTTTGAATAATCCCTGCTGCATAAATGGCGGCTGTCAAGGACTGTATCATCCGCCTCGAGCCCAGAACAAGCTCTGGCTCCTCCCTGCATGAGCCTACTGCCCCAGATCTCATCCAGGCCCAGGGAGCATCATCCTGACCCACTCGATGAGTCTTTCACACTAGGGAGCTGCTTTCTTCGTAGGAGACCTCCTTCATCTCTACGTCGGAATATAAGATGACTCCCTTATCTCGCACCAGATTTTCGGGCTCGAATTAGAGTCTCGATTGAGTGTTCCGCTTCAACCCAGCCAACATCTTTGGAGACTCCCACCTCGAAGCGGAATAGCCCTCTGCGAAATATTCGGTTTCCTGGCTGGATGCGTAACGAGTACCGACCGTTCCCCAAGGTCTCGGGTCGACTTGGGGCCAGATCCGTGAGTCATGTTTTACATCAAGCTTCAATCGGAAATCGGACCCGATCAGTGGATCGCAGGTGTATTCGGGGTTATCTGCGCAAACTCAAATTTTTTACTCATTCGAAAGTGTGATCTCTGGAACACGCAAGTGTAATTGTTCCAAGCAAGCTCGAAATGATCTGCTAAATATTCAAGAGCGTCAATAAAATATCGAAGTACGTGAAAAAAAGTCGCAGAATGAGCTGCGATGTGCTCGAGACAGTACACGCAAATCCATAATTTATTCGAATGAGAGTTCTCATATAACAAGAAAATCCGAAAATTCAAGTCTCGATTCCTGCGACATGGTTCCAGCCGCACCGAGCTTCGAGCAGGCGAGGAGGAGGAAAAAGTCCTGCCAATCGAAGCTATATGAAGGACGGATGGGAAGGGGGGGGGGGATCTTTTCGCAAAGTTCTCGAGTTTCCCAAGCTGACTCTGGAAGACAGTGAGAACTTGACTGATGAGTAGAGTTCCTAAATTTCGGACATTTCACATGTACCCAATCCGCGAGAGCGAACACCGACGATTACATCGACGAGGAAATCGCCTCTGATGAGTTTTTCCTGTCGCCGGACGATAGGGGAAAGACTAGAATAAGAATGCCGCAATCGAATCTTTCCTTATTCGAGAGTCGGAAAATGAAAATGTCCGAAATTTAGGAACTCTGCTGATGAGTGCAGGAGCTCGTGAAACGAGAGAAGCATGAAAGAAGACCGAGATACGGTGCCAAGGTTATGCCAAATCATAAGTCTTATAACTTATGAAACATAGTGGCCAGGTATGCGACACGACTGTCCGAATTGCTTCGCCGAGCGGTGTCTTGACAAGGGGGGTAGACGGGCAAATGGAAACAAAAGGATAACGTATGCCGTATGCAGTCCCGGATTGACTTCCTCGATATGAAAAGGAGAATCAAGAAAGTCCGTCCCAACTAGACGAGCTCGGATTACTTCCTACCTAGAGACTAGAAGAAGCGTGTTTGTTTCCTCTCATCATTCCTTCCGGATTGGCCATGTAAAGTTTAGCTACAGGATTAAAGATCCCAGAACGACGGATACCACCGGATAAATAAATATCCCAATGTCTCCCTTGTGTCTCAACGCAAAAACTTTTGAAGAATTGTTGATTCACAGTCTTGATTGGAGCCTCACGAGTTTTTTCTGGTATTCTACTCAAGCGGTCAGCTACATGGATGAATTTTCTGAAGGCCCGGAACGCTAAAAACGCGCGATTCCCGAGGCGGGAATGGCTCAAGATTCTATTCTTGCGGTTGCCCAAGTTTGATGACTGTCAGAAAGTTCAATTCTAGAGGGAAGGCACTTCTTGAGAGGATGAGACTCAGGTATAAAATGCAGTACCAAACGAAGCATTCGGTGGATCGCGGCCAGCTCCCTGAAGACGGCCGGGCAGAGGCGAACTCCGAACTCCGTCCGAGCCTGAAGCACTCATGAAGCTGATTTACTTATTTGTGATTGTGGCATTGCTCTCCCTCCATTCGCATGCCTTCCTGAAGAAGAAGAAGAAGCTACTTCTAGGATTGTTAGCTGGTGGTTCATTGCTCGGCGGCGGAGGTGGTCTCCTAGGCGGAAAGGGTGGAGGGTCGGGAGGACACAGTGGAGGAGGAGGAGGAGGCGGTTGGAGCAGTGGAGGAGGAGGAGGCGGTTGGAGCAGTGGAGGAGGAGGAGGCGGTTGGAACAGTGGAGGAGGAGGAGGCGGTTGGAGCGAAGTGGAGGAGGAGGAGGAGGCGGTTGGAGCAGTGGTGGAGGCGGCGGTTGGAGCAGTGGCGGAGGAGGGGGAGGATGGGATAGCGGCGGCGGAGGCTGGTAGGGCCATCAACTCTTAATCTGGAAAATCACACCACGGAGCAGGATCAGGAGCAGCGACGGGGGTTCCCAGGAGACGACATCAGGATGAGACACGTCGAACCCAGTTTTTGATGTGCGTACGATCACCGCTTTCTGCATCAGTACCCGGGACGTTAAACCTTGGCTGTGTGGAACAGCCCGAAAAAGTGAAAGTGGATCAGTTGCATGAGCCCGACTCCAAATAAATAGGAACTTATGTCCTGCCTGGAGGCATGGATGTCATTCTTATCTCCCTCCGGAATGCCGTTTACGAAGAGAAGGCTCTCGAGCTCATGTTACGATCGATGGATTTCCGAGAGCTGTGTCAGAATGCTAGTTCAGAAGACTAAAGTGAAAACAGCAAAGGGTCTGTAATTTTCATCTTTATAATTGATAATAAAACCCTTCACTTCAATTGGATCCTCTCCATGTAATATAGAAGAAAATGTACATAATAAGAATAAGATAATCGCGAAGGCAAACAGCAATATGTAGTTCCTTCTTCGGGTAGAACTCCGTATGATACACACTCACACACACACAAAGTTGCAAATCGACAAAAATAAATAATTGAAGCATGGATTCCAGGAAGCAGTGAAGCCAGCAGGCACGGAATCACACCGACTGTTGATCTAGAGGGATGATATCCTCTGATTTGTTGGAAAGGGAGGCGAAAAAAAACATATTGGGAGAAAGGGCAGTGTGTTCTTCCTATTGACACTCTCGTTCTGATCGGATCATCCCATGGCTATTTTCTCGGCCGACCCCGAAGAGTCTCTTGAGCGCAGAGGAACGTTTCCTACCTCAGGCACGGAGAAGTTGATGCGGAAGAGGGTACAACATGAGAATCGTACTTCTCCAATCGCGCATTTACCCAGATCCGTTATTTTCGTAGATAGTGTAAACTTGGGGAAAATAAGAACTTGACGAAACAACTCATTGGTCCATGAACGGGTAATGATATGTTTGAAACGCTGCTGTATTGGCGCGGCTTGGGAACATTTGTAAGCAGAAGACAATCTCGAGGCAGATCTTGTAGGTTCATTAGGTCCATCAACGACGTGCTCAATTTCTCCCGCGTGGCGGTCCGCTCTCTCAGTCATGTAATCATCACAACTCATCACCAATCCAACCGGAGGACATATGTAGAACGGATGGTAACGTGGAAAATAGTAAGAAAATATAAAAACTGCCTAATCAGCAAGGTCCATCGGTAGGCGCTTAGAATCCAGAACTTCCCGGAGATATGGAGACATTCGGGGACAGGTTACAATACTATTTTCAGAATGCTCGTAGGTATGTATGCTTTCTTCTTCTCCCTTAGAGTGGCCTTGCGAAATCGCTATGTGTATGTGAGTTTTCCCTGGTCGCTGTATGCATGCAGTTCTGGTATTGAGTCTCCTCCTCTCTAGCCTTTGAGACCTTCTGGAGCGCACGCATTTCGACTTGCGAAACAGCGAGATATCGACTCAAGCGATTATTCATACTTTTTAGGCATCTCCAGTTGAATCTGAGCGGATGCATCATCCGTTAGCGGATCATCCGCGACCATACGATTCGAACCCGACGTGGAATCTGATAAGTTTTCCATGCTCGAGTATATTCACTTATCATCGCAACTCGCTTCAGGGCGACTGTCGGGACTTCATTACACAGAACACTCGTTCGCACGCAGTCTTGCCGAATAGTCATGCTTTCTCGGTGTACATATCCTCACAGTGACTTACTGCTCTCTCTCGGATAATAATACAGATAATTCATTCGATTAGTTTCATGGGATCTAGAATGCAATTGTTGTTGTCGACGGGCTAGCGCCGGTGAAAGGGGCCCGCTGCAGCAAAGAAAGCAGTCGGACCCGCCTCGCTCCGGCCTCCTTGTGATAACCAGCAGCCAGACCAGAGCTTGCCTCGAACCGACTTCCACAAGAGAACCCTTCTCAGCCCGAGAGGAGCGACTTGACTTCTGCGACGATAGATCCCGCCTCAAAATCCTTCCCATGGCTCTCTCGAATGAGTTTATGTTCCCATTCTGTCTTCATCCTTCGATCCGAAGTCGAATCTATCCGAACGTCTGGGACGTTATTCCATGAGTCCTAGACGAGCTCGTGTTGTTCGAGTCGAATCGGAAGGGCGCAGTCGATGCAGTGAGGGCGAGCGGATATCGCTCCAGGATCCTCGATGCAGGGGAAGCCATTTCGTCGACTACGAGGCTCGGAGTGTCTGTTCAGTGTGGTACGGTTTCAAATGAATCGGTGCTTAATCGGTTATGGGCGAGAGTTGTGCTTCGGACTTTTCTAGGTCTTCGCTGCACATAGTGCGGAGGGCTCGGACGAGTCGCGATGACGTGAACTTCTTCTCCGAGTTCAATTAATGGAGTCCATCTCATCCTCGTGTCTGACAATTCCGAAGATAGCGCAGAACATTCCGATGAGGGTGCCGTCGGCGTCGTTGCCCTCTGACTGACGACCGGTCTAGCGACTCATTCATAAGTTCAATATTATTGTATATGTGTATATATAAAATCCAGTGTATTATTGCACAGAACTGATGCGCTCTGTTCAATACAATAAAGGTCAACAGCTGGGAGCTTGTTGCCGCAACGATTGAACAAGAGATCTTCCCGCTACGCTTAAGTGTAATCACGCTCAGCTAACAAATGTCACCCCTCAGTATTACTGTGGTACGAGCAGCCTCGGTCGAAGGAGGCGCAGAGTTTCTGAGTTTCCTTGGGGCTGCGGAGAAGGGGATAATTTCAATTCATCTTCGAAAAAGCATCGATGAACTTTGAGCGGCGACTGCTGTCCCGGTTGTGTCCTTGCATTCTCGTTAGGGCTCGGCACTTACTCGACGAGCCCTTCTGCCCGCCTGCTCGGCTCTCAGGATGCGGACTCCCGAAGCACCGCGAGTCCGAGCCGGGGATTCAACGTCTTTGGTGATAATTGATAATTCAGTTTTGTTCTCGTCGCTGAGTTACGAGCGATTCACCGGGATCGAACATCGCAACGAATGCACAGAGGCGGATGCAAGCTAAAAGCTCTAAAACCTCGGAGCTGATTTTAAGGAGGCACGTAAGGGGGTGGGTTCCGATAACTCGGAACCCCGCGCGGTCTACTGCCTCTAGCGCCGGAACCCATCGAAGGTCCGCCGACGTAAGGAGGCGACGGTTGATGATAGGGCTCATTGGATCGATGATGCATCGAGCCTTGACCCAGAAGCGGAGCCATGACGTCCCGGGACAAAGGTGGCCGTTCTTCATGCATGATAGCGGGTCGTTTTCCACCTGAGCCGCCCATGTGCGGACGATCCTCAAGTTCTTCATTGAGAATGATCGGGATGCCTGTGAAAGATTTTCGGTCAAATTAACTCAAGTCGCTTCAAAGCTTGACTTCCTACATAATCCAACATTTCGCTCCCGCGATAGATACAGATAGTCATGGAAGCGCTCGACATTGCCAAGAACGGAGCATCATCGATCGCCGGCTAACGGCTAATACAGAAGCTCGATGACTCACCCTTATGATATAGCGAGTTGTCATTCAGGCCTAGTTTGCCCCTTCTACGTTTGCTGTAGAGGCAGCAGGCTACGGCGGTGGCCATGACCAACATGAATATGATGACCAGAGCCGGAATGACTGTGGTGAAATAAACTTCGTCGTCCTCTGGCTGTTTGCCTGGATGCGTTTTCGGTGCTAATGGGGGCGATATTCCCGACGAGGGAGGCACTCCCCCCGCACCGAGACAGGCTCCGAGAGGACGAACGTCAGCCCTCAACACCCGGAAGTCAGGCCACATCGCATCGACGAGGTTCCTCGAGATGTGACCTGCGTTCGCTTGTTGCTGAGGAAACTGCTCAATTAGCTTGGCGCTCAAAGCCTTGATAGCGTCCGATGGACAGCGATCCATCGCTAAGGTGTTGTTCGTCCAGGTGAATATGGTTGAACCGTTCAGAATGCTCGTGACAGTGATCTTCATGGGGTCTGGATCGTTGTAGAGTTTCGCGAGCTTCTGCACGACGATGACTTTCTTGGTGGCGTTTTTCCTGAATTCGTCGATGGACTCTTGGAACTGAATCGAAAACTCGACGGCGTACTTTTCGTTGTCGGGCTTACGCACGTCGACCAGGAACACGTCGTTGGCTTCTTGACCCAACTTGTCGGCCGCGCTCATGATGTATTCGGTCCGGTTGAGATCGCTCGCTTCGGGCAAACCGAAGAGCTCCTGCGATTTGGTGTTGAATTGAAGCCAAGATTGCGGCGTGACACTCTCCCCATTCATGTTACGTAGATTCAGCGACAGGTAACGCGTGCTGCCGTCGTCGTAGTCGTAGAAGGTGTCCTCGGGTATTTTGAATAGGAAGAATCTACCTACGATTGCCTCTAGCTCGCCGATGTTGTTCCGACGGAGCGGGGCATTGTTCTCTGCCGGCGCACCCGTACTCAGAGGCGTCTTACAGAGTCCGAGCATGTCTAGAGAGATATGGACGATGGTGATCTCTTTCTCGGCCATCGCTTTGATCAACACGCCCCGGGGTTCACCCGAGTCTTTGTTGAGTTTCTTCTCGATCTGCTTCAATACCTCGCGGGGACAAGGCGTCGCAGGCAACGAGCTGTTCGTCCACGAGATCGTATGTTTTCTCTTATCGATGTTGATGATCGTAATCTTGATGTCGTCTCCGTCTCCGAAATAGTTTGAAAGTACGCGCACGACGTCCATGGGCCATCCGATCGCCCAATCCCAGTCTCCTCGCGGTTGCACGGACATCTTGAACTTGTGGTGGAAATTTCTTTCCTTCGGATGTTGCCACACATTGACTTCGAATGTCTCGGTCACGCTTTCTCCGGCGCTGTCGTAGGCCTTGAGGAAGAACGTGTGCTTCCCGTGTACTTCGCCGACCGGCAGGGCGAACAGAGTTTGATTTTCTTTGTCTAGTTGGATGAATGAGCTTGTGTTCACGGGCTGACCGTTGGTGCTGGTCAGCTCGAGAGCGAGTCCCCTGGTGTCTCCGTCCTCTTCGTCCATGAACGTCTCTGCGGGAATCTTGTACGTGAATATAGCTCCGGCAGTAAGGACGAGCTTCTTCAAGCGTTTGTTGACCACAGGCTTGTTGTTCACTGTGGGCGGATCGGGTTCAGGTATTGAACCGGGCGAGGGCGGATCCAAAGGCCTCCCAGTGGGATCTGCGGTAGGAGGTGGATACATTACGGTGGAACTAGGTTCGATGATTGGGGTCATTGAGGGAGGTGAGTTTGTCTCGGCGGGTACGTAGGTGAACGACGGCCGAGGCGGGGGGAGAGCGGGCGTCGAAAGGCCGTAGCCGGGGAGCATTGACTGAATCGTCATGGTGGGTGTGATCATTTCTTCGAAGTGACGGGTCGGGTGCGGTGCGTAAGAGCTCGGATCGACCGCTGGCGACGACATGCTAGGCACTATTCGGGTGTCCGGTGAAGCAGAGTCCCAATCGAGGTCGTTTGTCAGCGTCGCAGTCGGCACTACTACTGAAAAGTGAAAAGATAAAAAGTTAAAGAGTGGCGAGCAATCCGAGGATGCGGGACTTTCGGATTCCCACAACCCCTATGCGGGCTTGAAGAAGGAGGATCATCGATGATAACTCGACGGAGGAAACTCGCGGGAATCCAATAAATACTGAATACTTACTGCCAGGCATCGGCGTCTGGCTTGTGCCCATGTCCCTCCTCTGCCTCATGATCGAAAAACCAGACACCTGATTCCCTCCTAGCGATGTGCCGCGAACGTGCCAGCCGAGCACTCTGTGTCTGAGAAGGTGTCTGAGGGTGCTATCCTTTGCCGTAGTCTCGACAATTTTGATCTGTTCGTCGGCTTCGGCCGTGAGTTGACCGTCGCAGTCGCTGGGCATATTCCATTCGAATTGGATGCCGGACTTGGTTCGCTTGTGACCGTCTCCCGCGCCTGATCGTATGTGGGAGTCGTCGTGCAATGACGGAAACAGAAGGCTATTGCTTTGCGGCATCGCGGTGAGACGGAGCGATTCAAGAGCTACGCCTAGACAGTTCGCGAGAGAACAGGTCATCTCGATTTTACTCTCGAGCGGCAAGAAGTGCAAATCGGCATCGACCATCAAGGTCATTCGCGGCTCGAAGCGGCAGTGTGGATCCTTAAGTTTGTTGGGTAGAACTTCTATTGAGAAGATGTCTTTGAACTGTGTCGATTTCTCATCGCTGACCGATTGCTCGTCGAGCGAGTTTCCTTGATGTCGCATGCCAAAGCCATAGGCTTTCACGCAAATGTACGCTTTGCCTTCGTCGTGGACGTCGGGCAAGCCGATAAGTCTGCGGTTCTTCACGTCGAACTGCAGCCAGCCGGGTAGACGAATGTCGCCGGCCTCTGTCACCTGTGGAGCCATCGAAAGGGGAAGTGAGCGGGAGGAATATTCGAACGTCCATCGCCCACTGGTAGAGCACCGATAACTTTGCGGTCGTTTTCCATCACTTACGTCATAGTGGTGAACTTCCCCATTGAAAATGTCTTCGGGTAGAGTGTAGTTGAAAATGTAGCCTGCATAAGCGGTAGTATCTGGGATTCCGGACTTTCGGCTTAAGCGGACGTGTCCTCCGTGTGGCTCACCAGAGACCAGCAGCGATTCACGACCTCCGAGCAGGAGACCGAATCCCGCCCAAACGCACGTTAGCGTACAAAGTCCCGAAGCCGAGATCATCTCTATCTGTATTGCGGCGGGCTGATGATCGAGACTCGCTCAACTAGCTGGAAGGGAAGAAAAAACTTTTTTTAGAAAAGACAAAAACATGAGCGGAAAGAATAAGGACGACCTCAGTGAGCTTTGGGGGAAGCCTCTGCGAACGGCACTGTGGAATCTGCTGTCAATTCATCATGGATTTGACACGGCACACGCTTCTTTTTCGCGACACCGAAATCCCCGTTCGAAGCTCGACAAAGATTGACTTTTGAGCCTCGCTGGGTGAGCCGAGGAACATGAAGCGACGTTCCATCCGAGCTCAGAATAAAACTCTGGTGGAAAACGAAAATGGCAAGGTTACACGACAATCTGTAGGAGCTCGTTCACGGAATTCACCTGCTCGCCCCTGATCTCTCGAAAGCATCAGGGACCTCTCGAGGAGCGCATAGACAGACAATGAAGGAGGCCCGTTCCATCGCGCCGCTGGACGCAGCGGACAGAGGAAGCACCTGACTTTCTTCAGTCTTTCAATGTATGGTAGGCGTCTCACGCATTTCGTTCAGATGAACTGGAAGGCCGCAATTCATGACTCACTCAGTCAGATGCTCCATAAGACGAGATGCATACAAACGGACGAAACGGGAGCCGACCCTGGCACGCCGACTGGAGCCTGTGAGAATACTCTCTCGGATCCGGAGCCGCTAGCGAGTTCCGGCGGCCAGGTGCACGAGTGCGAGGAAATCTCTGTTCGAGAGTCGGGGGATTGAGCTCGTTTTGCGCAATGATGAGTTTTTGAAATTTCTTCCGAGACCCGGGGCGACATCTTAGAGCGAAAACCGAACGGGATTCTAGATGGCGCTTCCCGACCTAACTCCCGCGCGACTACAAGGGTCAGGGGTCCACTCATTGCAGGACGATCTTCGAAAGCCGCGTTAGAGCGGAGCTCTCGGGACATTCCGGCGGCCTGCTGAAAATATTCGAGGGAAACGGGAAAAGCGTCGTTCAGTAGACGTTTGTAACTTTCACAGTACAGGCTCGAAGATTATGCTCGCTGTGTTCTCGTCGGCGAGGGGCGAGATATTTTTGTCGGTGATGAGAAAACTCATTACGAAAATCCCTGGGACGCTCCCAGCGAGGGCAATTCCTTTATGGTGCGCCATCAAAGGCCCTAGTGTCTCTCTCACTCTCGTCGGCTCCTATCGTGCCCGAACTCGAAATCGCGCCAAAAGCCCGCCCGGATGAAGCTCCTTCCTAGCCGTTGATATCAACGGCCCGAACGTTCGGATCGGAAAAGAAGTGCTGGGAACACATCTTTTTCTAAAGAGAGAGCACGAGTTCCTAGCTCGATCTGAATCCCCGTGAGGGGTCAGCAAACGCACGAATGATCTTCTTCCTTGAATTTCGGCATTCCCGGGTATACGGATAGCAGCAGCTTGTGCGAAAGACGATACCCATCGATGGAGAGGGCTCATCACGAAGAATTCTTTGGTCGAATCTGATCTTTGACCGTGTTCGGTTGGATGCGGACCGCTCGCGTCAACATTGTTACGAATGCGAGCGACAATCTATGGTTCACATCGAGGCATGAGTCAATAATCACTCGTTATGTAGCGATTCGTGGAGCGAATAGCATTGTTCCGGAGCCGTGCGGTAGTTCATAATTTACCAGACCGCATAGAATTTTCAGCATGAGCTCCAATCCGGATTTGAATGAGACTTCAGGCTGTGAATTAGCCGAACCGATTAGCATGTGAGGCACGATGACCTCACCGACTTCCTACTCGAATCTAAGGAAGCACCCGAAATATATCGGTTCACTCGAAGGCAGCGGCGAGCGGACTTGAATCGAAATAGATGCGGGAGATCCGTCGTCTGAATCAGTGAGTTGACTCGCTTGCAACTTCGGTTTCTCCCGAAGGATCATGAGGCCGAGTCTCACCCCGGATGCGCTTGGAAGAATGGGTACGGGAGATTCGTCCCGATAGCTCAGGGGTCCGCATTCGGCGATCGACTCGAACACACAGCTGGCGTAGAAACGAGCCGCGAACCACCGAATAAGGAAACGCGAAACGAGTCGGCGCCGAACGAGTCAACGTCGAACTCTCTTGACAGACGAACCCAAAAACTGGCTGGATGGCTCCTGTTCGTTGGGCGCAGAGAAGCTCTAGCGCAAACAATCGGAGAGCGAGATAGCCAGATGCCTGGAAGTGTTCCCCGTAACACTAACCAGATTTTTTCCCTCCCTCTGTTCCATTGCCCCAAGAATTCTCTTCTTTTTCTCCCGCTGATCTCTGGGTCCCTGAATCCAATACGTCTGTCGAAAGGAGCCACGTTCTTCTGAGTCGTGAGCGGGCGTCGCTTTGAGAATGCGGACAAGCATATCGAACACGCAGGACAGCGAACGACAACGATTTTCGATTACGACAAATCAGAAACCTTTACGCATCATCTCGAGTCGCCAAGAAGCTCGCGAATCGACGGATCCCACCTCATTCACAATCCGCTGCCGAGCAACAGACGATTGGAATTCTCATGGCTTGTAATATTCCAAGGATTCGACATCGCGTGACCGATCCCTCTGAGGCTCCTATTCCGAGAAGGAATAAATGTCAAATCTTTATCTCGATCCCCGCTCGCGGCATGACTCGAAGCGGATGTGAACGGCTTCCGACTCGGACCCCAAATTATTATTATCAAAGTCGAGCCTTCCGTCTTGGTTTCGTGAGGCGAGACCCAAACTCGAGCTGTCAATCATGTCATCCTCGTGGGGGTCAGAGAGAGACTGCTCCCATGCCTGATTGGATCGGTATGTCAGGGACGATAGAGTCGAGAGATCACATTTTTTCCGGAGCCGCCGGGATTGCTCAACAGTCGGTACAGTTTGGGGAACCCGAGGATTCCCCGCTGTGGGTCGGCCGCAGACCAACGCTGCATGTAGAGTATTGAACATGGTGTCGGGCGTGAAGTAAATAGCTGCTCGCCAAAGTGAGTGGGAACACATCAAACACTAGCGATCCAGAAGAGACCCTCCTTCGAAGCAGCAATGTTCCATTCAGAGCAGAGGGAAAACGAGACATTCGGTTCCGCCTCTGACGCAACGCCTCTGTTCCGCAGGACGCCGAGACCATCCGCTCAACAATGGTACCGCATTAGAACGGACTTATAAAGAAAAAGTGAAGATTCACCCGTGAGGGAAGCTTTCTAGATTTGATCGCAATTCGAACGAAGGCTTTCTGAGGGTTCGATAAACTCTGTCCGGGAAATGGAATGTCTATGCGAAGAGAACGTTGCGCTCAAGCTCCTCCAGGAAATATCGAGCTGCATTACGCAATCATCTCGCAACCGAGCGTATTTCGGTATTCAGTGCAACAGCTGAATCTCGGATTCTACTCTCGAACTGTCTGTGCACGGAGACCTTATCGACTATCGAGCCTGACGCCGAGGACGGTTCCCTTCGAGAAATCGGCAATCGATGACTTAATCAACGATTGGGTTGAGTTCCAATCAGCACGACAACGACTCCGGGCTCCTCAGATTCATTGCCTCGCTAAGCATTGAATTCAGGGCAGTGACGTTCGACGTTGACGAATCGCTAGTCTAGATTCGACAATGGCGTCTGATTCCCGATTTTGGAAAGGTTCTTGATCAGCGTAACTTTCAAGCGATAGAAGCCGTCGGATGTTCGGATCAGTCTCAGCGGGAAAGGTATTCGCCGAGCTACTCTCCAACGGGGCGGAAATCAACGCAGGTCTCGGCCCCAAAGGAGTGACATACAGGGAGACACGTGCGTGAGGCTTCGGGGGAACCTCAGCTCGAACTCCCGGGAGGGCCATTCAGAGCAGGAAATTCCGACTCGTATCGAGCGTAACCGCATCGGACTTATCGTGGCTGATTTTCCAGTTGTGAGAAATCACCGTCCCCCACTACGGGCCCGGTGAAGGCGCCGAATATCCGAACACTGCCGCTTGTAGGCCGTTGCGCGCAGATGAACTATCACAGCAATCGATAATTACCTTGCACAGTTGGGTCCCGTCGATTTGGGAGTGATCGGTCGACGCGGTCTCCAGCTCACGTAAATCACATGTTTCTCGGTCATCACCACCCCGTCTTTTCGAACAGCACACGACTGCCGCAACCGGACCAGTGGGTATGCAGCCCCTCACAATGAATGCAGCAGTCCTAGCGGTGGCACACCGAGGAACCCTATCGACGCTCACCGAGCCATAGCTCCTTCGGCACGGGGCTCGGAGTTCCCTCGTTGGGCTCTGGCAGCAATCGCAGACTTCTTGACGCAAGAGCGGCAGCCACTGGAGGCGATCTCCTCTGCCACTCTCTTCTACTCATCTCTTAGTGTCCCGGGGCCTCCATGGCTTCTCACTCGCTCACTCATGCTGGCTGGCTAGCAGCTCACACACTCACTCGCTCCGTCAGTTTCTCCAACGAGCAGCACCTTAGCGATGGTGGCGGCGGCGGCGACGGCGGCGCTCAGCGGCACTCATAGGCCACCACAGAGCATGCGTGATACGGACGAGGGCTCGTTGTCGGAGTTTCTGTGGCTCCGCTGAAAGAGCGGGGGCTTCCGCCGAGCATCTGGGAGTGGCGGCAAAGCCGGTGCTGGCTCTGGTCTCCGAGAGAGGTTGGCAAGGAACGAAAATCAGGAACAAACTAACTCAGTTAGAGCGGCTCGATCCGATGCGAGAACAGAGTGGTATGAACGATCGGAAAGGGCTCGCTCGGGCCCTGTGATGAGATCTGTCGTAGGATAGGCTGAAACACAGCTGTACTTCAAAACGCTGTTCCTGAGACACTTTCCCAACTGTTTGTATAGTTGCTTGCTAAGTGGGACATTTTCCAGGGAAAAGAAAGTTTATTCTGCTCCACAATGAACGATCAGAGGCAGCCGCCAGTTTGGTACCGTCTATAATGCTCGAACGCCCTCGATCTGTGTGAACATGAGCTCCACGGTTTCGAGTCCCGTCTCATTTCAAACTTTCGATATTGCTCGCGGTTCTTCGGCTTTGTTTCAGAATCTCGAGAGATATGGAGGAAGTGTGCTTCATAAAATTTTCCTGCTCGATGGTCTCAACAATTCACCCTCCGACCCAACCTTTCGAAAGCTCACGGTGCTCGATCGAGATCTCTCCCCTAAGAATTCACATTGGGGAATTGACGATTCCGTGTGAGTCGTGAGGTTGCGGAGTTGACAATGTGAGGACTCGAATAATGGTCTCAAAGCGTCAATGGCTGAGGCAATCGAGCTCAATAGTTTGGGAGGAGATTCGAAACGGGAAAACCCGTTCGCCGTTTAGACGATTCAGACGCCTATTTGCAAGCATTCCTGAAAGACTTAACCGATAGTTTCGCCGTAGACTAGCGTTATGGATATTAGGTATCGAGTTGTGAGTCAAACATCTTGGCTGTGAGAGGTAGGTCAAGGAGAAAAATCTCTTCGTCATTCAGTTTGGCATCTCTCAGATGATCGAAAACTATCCTCCGGAGCTGCAGAATCGAGCCGACACCAGAATCGCTGAACTCTCGGTCATTGTGGAATGACCATCGGGACTGCGATATGCTAGTTGCTCTCCCCTCATTTCATCAGGGCATCTCCTTTTCCGCATTTTTTTTCCAAGTATTAAGCATGTTTCCACCCGTAGTTGGACCGGTGAAGCGATTGGTACAAGCAACGCGCGAGTAGCTGATGCGTGTACCTATATAAGGCAACAAGACAAGGTGAATTTCATCGGGAGGGGGGGGGTCGATTCCTGATAGGGATGATCGCGGCTCGATCGGGGGATAGATGCGGACTCGGGGGTATTGGCGAGGTGAACTCCGTCGCATGCCGATCGTTCCCCTCCACAAAAATCTGATGCGTGGATCACTGTACGGCTGACTTTTTTGATCCCGGCAAGCTCCCGGAAGGCGGCGAGCTCAGACTTTGTGGAGGCGAATCGAGGAAATGACAACGTCTCCTTCGATCACAAGGAACTTGAATGCTTGTATGTTTTGTAAACGATGTTTGAAGTCGGTAAAGTGCTTCCGATTGAAGGAGACGGTCACTTCCTGTTCGGTGATGAGCATCGTTAAATCAAAGTGTACTCCTTGGGCGAATTGGAAGTCCTGAATTCCCTCCTCAGTCGTCCATGAACCATTCTGCTTGGAATTCAGAGCAACATATCGCTGATCGAAGCGGGGATTCAGGTGAAATAGGATATTGCCTGCAAAAGGAATCTCGAAATGACCATGCTTGTCCCGATTGACGGAAAAACTTTCAATAGACGTTCGGAGAGAAGAAGCGGATTTTTGTTCCCCAGAATTACTGACCGTCACTGGCTTTATCGCACAGATTGATGTGAAACCGGTGAGCTGTCTTGGTCGGTTTAGCTGCGATTATGATCTTGAGGCCAGGCTTGAGATTCTCGAGCTCTTTGACAAACGGCACGTGAGGACTGATGATGGACTCGACGTTCTCCAGTTTACCGGGTAGGCTCAAGGTATCGATTGTGTCTCCGCATCCGGAGGCAAGATGCAGATATCTGATGGTAGAGAGAAATATGCGAAAATGCCTTCACGGCCCCGCTCATGGTGACGATGGAACCTTCGGATGAGAACTGCTAAGAAACTCACGGGAGAGGATCGTCTCGTTCCTGGAGCTCTGATATGACAAGTCCACTGCCACCGGCTATTTCGATACGATTCACTTTCTGATAATCAACCCGATGTTTGAAACAAAATTGATGCTCCCCATTGATTGCTACTTTGTAGTCGTCGCAATCAACCAGAATCGTCATCACGAACGGTTTATTCGGCTGGATGCTCAACGGCGATACTCTCTCCTGAATCGCGATGAAAAGACTTCAGCTCCTAGGACTTTCCGGAACGTTACGTCTTGGAGTAGCCAGGAGTAGAATTGGACTGCGTTCTCGGTTTTGTATATACCGGCACTGCTCTGCTGCTGGGTAACATGCCGGAAACCACTTGCCTCTTTCATCCATTGGCCTTTTTCGAATGAATTCAGCACGAGACTATCGTTCTCGATCCTCGGGTTGACATGGAGTGCTACGGTGTCTTCGTTATGCTTGAGCTCGATGTGAAACCTCTTCGGCCCGGAGACAATCCCTCGAAGTTCGAAAACACGTCCCACCTGGCGGATGACGATCCGAATCTCATTACTGTATTCTGTAGTTCACGTCGTGTCCTAGAGATATGTATACCGCTGAAACCACGGACCTGAACTTTGCAGCTGACCGACCCCTTATACGGGACAGACAAATTGTGCTTCGCTACTCCGAAATGACGAAACATTTTCAGAGATACGTTGTCGGGCATACTAAGGAGTCTTCTGCAATAGAAGTACAGGAAATTATCGCGTCGATCACAGAATCATCACAGCAAACAATCTTTTGTATAGGAGAGTCACTCCAAACTGGTATCTCACATGCTCGTTCGAAAGAGGGAGAAGCCCTCCTCGGTCGGTGCGTGAGGGAACGAGTCACACGATTTCTGCTCACTCGGCCCAAGTCAGCGGAGCGCTTCGGTCGAGCGATCAGCTGACGGCTCGAACTGTCACAGGTAAACTCAGAATCCGCTTCCAGCGCAGATCAGCGATAAATGCTTCCGCATCTCAAAAGCTCAGGCAAGACCGCTCGTGGAAGCGGATCTTCGGATCTCATAGAGAGATCGAATTTTCGCAGAGAGCGTCGCTGAACGCGGAATGTGGGACCGTCGAAGCTGAAGGACTCACGGATCTCTGACCATTCACGGCGCGTTCTCCAATCACGAGCCCACGCTCCTGTTAATCCTCAGAGACTAGCTACGAGCGCGCGATTCCAGAAAGTTGACTCACAATGGATTAATAGAGTGGCCTTCGCTGATCGTTCAAGCCATCGAGTAGTGCGTGCTAGAGGAGGGGTAAAGCTTTCGTGATTGCTGCACCGATAGGTTGCTGGACTTCGATAAGCTCTTTCATTCCAAAAAAACACGTACGAGTCCTCGATGAAATGACCCGTGATAGAACAAGTTTCCCCTCTCAGCTAACCATCACCCATACTACTCCCATCATCCGCACTCCGATCAAAACAGCAACAATAACAACGACGTCTGGCGCTTCTGCTACGCCGCAGCGGCGGCCTCTCTGTTTACCTCCTAGGTCCATGCGATGAAGAGAGAAAAAAAGTACGAGTGAACAATGCCGGACCTCTGCTATAATCACCGGAAGCTGCTCACGTTTTGTCGTCGATCCATTGATGAATGATTGCGCCAGGGTTTTTGAAGACATTGAATGCAGAGCGAAGTTTCGGCGGCTGTAGTTTCATTGCTGTCGATCGACCGGACCGCTTCATGTGCCTGTTGCGTGTCTCCTTGTCACCTTCGTGCCTTCGCACAAAGTTCCTGTATCGTCGGCGGCGCAGAACGTCGTGGACAAACCCTAGCAAAGCCTATCCGGGGTGGCACCGAATCTTCGTGAATTGGGTAGTTTGCTGGAAGCAGCGGAGCGCAACTTTTCGCCGAAGCCCTCGTGATTTACCACTCGAGATCCGCACGGCCTGGGGATCATTTTCGGGAGTTCAGAGATTCTATTCCCGTGTGAAGAACCCCGAAAAATGGCCCGAGAAGGCATGGAGTAGGCTTCGCGGAACCTAGGTTGGGGACCACTGGATTAGGAGCTCGACCAGTGGTTCGACTGAGCAGGTCACGGGGTAATCTTCGGTCCATCGGACGGCTTTTCCTCAGCTAGCTGTAGGGTCTAGTAGAGTATTGGCATCCGGTGGGAGATAGGTATCTAAATGGTTTAATGAAATGTCATTCGGGAGATCTGATGTGTTCTGCTCGTCGTGAATATTGAGCTGATGGTTTTTAGCAGGTGAGGGGAGAGTTCCCCCCTCTGTGCTGGACAGTAGCTTACCGGAGCGGTATCCCGGGTGCTTCCTCCCTGAAAGACATGTTGTAGCGGGACCTTCTCAATCTGACAGACTGGGCAGATGAAATCACTGCATCTTTTGTCGTCCGATCCTCTGCCAGCTGAGTCGGCATCAGCTCGGCTCGCATTTACTTTGGTAAAAAAAACACCATTGAACATGACAACAAGAGGCGGATCGAATAAGAAGTTCCGTCGATAGCCATCGTCAGCACCTCATATCGATTAGCTACATCACCACTTGATAATTTCGCAATGAGTGCCTCGTATGGTGGCAGAGCTTGTCTTTCCCGCGGGAAGACTTAACTATTATCGGGCACTCAGACATGCTGCTTCTAGGAGATTAGAAAACGGGTTGGAGGATTCCTAGCTCATGACTTCGATTCAAATGTTTGGATGTTGCTGAACTTTGCGTGTTTTTGTTGATGCCGTCAATTGTCGCATGCACGCTTCCCAAAGGAAGCTGGGGACGTTCAGTCATTTCTTTCCATGGCAGAGTTCCGCTCGTACGACGCGCACGGCTATCCAGCTGCTCGGGGACGTTCGAATAGCAGCTCTCGATGCCTAATCCATCAGCTGGTTCCCTTGCTTGTTGAGAACCTCAGCTTCCGAGACCAGGATTGAGGTTGCCGAAAATCGCAACGCTTGTATACTCGACTCGGGTTTTCTCTGGTATGCCATGTATAGAGACGAGCTGAATACCCATACATTCAGGGAGATACATCCGTATTCTGCATCCCGACCACGAAGCCGACTTCCTCATTGTAAAAAACCTTGAAGCCCTCCCTCATAGATCTTTCGCACAAGATTCCTGAGAGCCGTCCCTTCCGGTCGCTCATTTTCTCAAGCCGTCCCACGGCGGCCAAACGGTCCTGCGGCCAAACGGTACCGCGACCAAACGGTCCCGCGGCCAAACGGTACCGCGACCAAACGGTCCCGCGGCCAAACAGTCTCGCGTCCAGACGTCTCGCGGCAAAACGACCCGCGGCCGAACGGTCGCGGCCAAGTGGGGCGTATCGACTCACCCTGATCAGCCGCGGCTTCTGTTTCAGCTATGTAGGTGAGTGTGCTCCATCCACCTTCCGGCTCCAGAAAGAAGCTCCCGTGGAATGGAACGTCCGCTTCCCCCTCATCTTCATCTAGAGATTTGAGCCCGATACAGCGCGGGAAGCGCTTTTCCACCCCATAGAAAGGTAATCGACCTTGCTTGTCGGTGAGGAAGGTTTCATTCAGGGAACCATCTCGGGATTACACTTTGACTCTGACCATCCTTCTTCTGAGTTGAGCGACACTCTGAAATCACGGATCTGATGCAGATGTCGCATCAGGATTTGGCGGGAACATAAAACACGCAGGGTGATGGATTCTTGGAAATCCAAAACTCTACGTCAATTCAAAGTACATCACTCGGATACATCGTATACCTTGAAGACAGGAGAATCATTCCGGGGTGCTCTGTGGGTCGAGACGGCCAACTCGTCTTCCTCGAGAGAAAACCTCGATTTAGGATTGATAGAGAGACCTTAATGCATGCGCGACTTCGCAAACCGTTGGCAAAAGAACCCAGTGACAACAGTCCAAAGATTCAGGGAGGTGCATAGATCCCTCCAATCGATATTCGATATAGATTAATCATAATCATACACCGTTGGTATAGGAGTCAATCGGATTGATTTCCAGATTGCCTTGGTCATGACTGATGACTCATGACTCATGACTCATGACATCCGATCATCCCTCTGCGACAACGAATGCGTCCGAGATTCCTTGAGAAGGCAGATAATGATTTTTTCTTGAGCCAGACGCAATGGCTCGGGACATTACTTCCTACCCAGGTCTGCTATGGAAAAAATGTTTTTGAGAACTTCTATGGACACATCGGTGTCATTCTTCCGACGTCTTTACCGGAGCACTAAATTCAACCTCTAGATGGGAAGGGAAGGTTCCTGAAAGAAATTGGAGCATCTTCGATGAACTCTTCGTCCTTGACGGAATATGGCGGGAAGGACGACGTGCGATCGCTGACATCATTGTTGAAGGAGGAACTGGTACCAGATCTACCTCGAGCTGCGCAAGGAGGTTCAAATGTCAGAGCGATCAGAGCCTCGAGGAATGAATTTTGCTTGAAATACTGCACACTCTGGGGTATCATTCTGATGGCTTTCGTCACGGTTCTCCTGATAATTACAATCGGGAGTGAGACGACATCGCGGCTTTTGTCTCGAGGAGGGTGGCATCCGATTTTCATGGAGAAAGCCCGGCAACGCCTCTATGTAGGGAACGTTTCTGCACATGAACTGCCCGTTCCGAGGAAGTCCCTCGAGGACAAAACGACATCCCTTGATGAATCATCGACGGTCTGACCACATCCGAGGCCTCAGAGGAATTCACCCCATATTCATCGGGCCGAATAGGCGCTGAGGTTCTGACGAGAGGTCTGAGGTTCAATTACGCGGCGAGCTGCCTCTCTGATGAGTGGGGTTTCCTGATACAAGTCTCCTGAGAGGATTGGCTGCACGTACTACAATAAAAAATCACATGACGAAAGCATGTGATCATGTCAATCACATGATGAATCAGAATTCATCCGAATATATATATATAAACAGTACCTCACCGCTCAATGGAACAGGTGACGAACTCGTCCCATTTGGCTTCCTCGAATACAGTAGCTTGTACGCTCGGTCCTGCCACAGCTCACCGACAGCTTCACCGCAGCCACCTTCCGCCAATCGTGACGTCGGGGGTGCAATCGAAACGAGGAGAGACTATTTGGCGATACCGAGAAATTCCAGATGATGGATAGTTATTCTGGCTTCAATCCTCCTGTCAATACTGACCCGGGACCGCCGGCAGAAGTCAGTTTCCGAAATCGGCGGGATCAATGTTCCGAGCCCATTCGTCTTGAATTCTCGAGATATTCCGCCGAAAACTCATCCGATGATCCATCTTGTTCCCTCCGATATCGCCCCGGCATGCTTCTGCTGCTCTTTCGGTCTAACATCTCGACTCATCCCATGGGTTAGTCTTTGATAGAATTCACGTCTGCTACTTCCGTCTGGGGGACACCCACGGAGCAACATCGAACGACTCCGAGCTCATCCTGTGCATGGAGATTATGGGGCGGAATCCCCGTCCGGTGAGGATATCGTTATCGCACTGTTCGAGGATTGTACCCGGGGGCTCCCCCTCTTGTTATTCCTTCCCAAGCCGCTGTGACCTTCTAACAACCCTACCCGTTTGGAAGCGCCTGTATGCAAGGAATGAGTTTCATCCGGCTTGTTGAATAACGAAGAATTAGACGCGTCCCATTTAGTGCTTTTGCCTTACTCATCGAGAGCCCAGGGAATCTTCCGTCTCAGATATCATGGAGGAGGTCCCCCCTTACAGCTTAGGTGAGCGGCTCGCGGAGGGCTGCTCAGGCCAGAGGCGGATCCTGGAATCCTTCGAGGAGGGGGTGCGAGGCCTGGAGCCTGGAGGGAGGGTCGTTTCCATGCCTGGAATCAGATTTAAGATGGGGAATATAGGCAGTCGGGTCACTCGAGGGAAGAGGATCGGCCGAGGGCTCTTTTCCCCCTTCGGGCTCGTGCTCCGCTTGTGCTACCGGAGAGCTGCAATCACCACGCATTTTCCAGATTTCTCGCTCGTTGAGGATTCATTCATCAGGGCACAAACCCAGTATCCTGATTCCTCTGGAAGCTCCATTGCTGGGCGTTGGGGAAGGAGAGGTTCCGAAATTCCGGGACACGGAAGGGAATTCAAATTCAAGAACTTGAAGTATTCAATCTTGATTGTATCAGCTGTCGCAATGATCATTTTCCTAGCATCGAGACGTCATAGAAGCCAGACCCTCCAGGGAGATGATCAAGAAATCCGTACCGCGTTGTCCCGTCATCGCGTATCGTAGTCTCGGCTCTCTCAGATCTACCTCCACGCGTCTACCTCCACGCGTTCAAAGAAGCGCCACTCCATGAATCATTAGCACCGAAAATTCCCCAATGCATAGTCACCAGAGCAAAGAGGAAAACGCTCAACAGAAACGAACGTTTACGATGAAACAGGCAATTTCAATCTCAGATCGCGGAAAAAGCGGTGTTTTTCACACTAATAA